TCACAAGACAAACTATCAATGTATGACAACACCATCACAGTGCATAGATCCAACAGCATTATTTAGACGCGAGAAGTCTTCAGGTGACTACTTTATTGTATTTGGCAGAGTATGTCAATTCTAAACTATCAAGTCAGATGCTGACCCATGATAATACGCCTCGGTGCAAAACAGTATCATTTCCGTCCAGTACCAGGAAGTAAGTAGATAAGTACGGCAGATATGTATGGCATGCATTCACACACGTTTTGTACACAAATATGATGACAGTAATTACCACGATGCTAACTATACTGATGTCGGGGAAATGAGAAAATGTCAGGGATGTGGGAGTACTCCATACTCAGAAACACACCTACATGACACTGACTAAACATAGATCGCAATAATGCAGTGCTGGTAGTATTCGGCCTGCATTGACTCTAAACATAGATCGCAATAATGCATTGCTGGTGGTATTCGGCCTGCACTGACTCTAAACATAGATCACAATAATGCAGTGCTGGTGGTATTCGGCCTGCACTGACTCTAAACATAGATCGCAATAATGCATTGCTGGTAGTATTCGGCCTGCACTGACTCTAAACATAGATCGCAATAATGCATTGCTGGTAGTATTCGGCCTGCATTTACTCTAAACATAGATCGCAATAATGCATTGCTGGTAGTATTCGGCCAGCATTGACTCTAAACATAGATCGCAATAATGCATTGCTGGTAGTATTCGGCCTGCATTTACTCTAAACATAGATCGCAATAATGCATTGCTGGTAGTATTCGGCCTGCATTGACTCTAAACATAGATCGCAATAATGCATTGCTGGTAGTATTCGGCCTGCATTGACTCTAAACATAGATCGCAATAATGCATTGCTGGTAGTATTCGGCCTGCATTGACTCTAAACATAGATCACAATAATGCTTTGCTGGTAGTATTCGGCCAGCATTGACTCTAAACATAGATCGCAATAATGCATTGCTGGTGGTATTCGGCAGGCATTGACTCTAAACATAGATCGCAATAATGCATTGCTGGTAGTATTCGGCCTGCATTGACTCTAAACATAGATCGCAATAATGCAGTGCTGGTGATATTTGGCCTGCATTGACTCTAAACATAGGTCACAATAATTTAGTGCTGGTGGTATTCGGCTTGCATTGACTCTAAACATAGGTCACAATAATGCATTGCTGGTAGTATTTGGCCAGCATTGACTCTAAACATAGATCGCAATAATGCAGTGCTGGTAGTATTCGGCCTGCATTGACTCTAAACATTGATCGCAATAATGCATCTAACCCCACAGTACATTCATATATCAAACATTTCTAGGTGCATCTTAATATCTCCTTTGATACAAAGAACATTGCATAAAAGTTGTGACAACTTAAATATTTTTTGTGAATTTGAAGATGTACATAATTTTACTACATTCAATATGGCATTAGAATTAGCAGTGTATTAATGCAAGTACAAATGACGTTCTACTGCATAACCTAGTCATTGCAGGTAACCAGGTGCAGTTTATTCTAAGACAACAAATGCAAACAGTTTACAGTTTACAGTTTAACAGCTGGAAACCTTGTTAAACCCCACACCCACACCCCCTGTCTCTTCCTAGATTGTTCTACTGGGTGTACGCTTACACATATTTTCTGTTCTGCAAGACCTGGAACCACTTTTATCGACAGAGTCACACGCAATTAAACTATCAACTTTCATATGTACAAGTCAGTACCCTGCCTGTATGTACAGGCATATGGACATAGCCGACTGGGCACATCGTTTTCAATTACAAACGCTGTGTCACGTCTCATGGCGACATGTGTTGAATTGTATTGATTGTTACACAACAAAGAGTGAGTGAGTATGGTTTTACGCCGCTTTTAGCAATATTCCAGCAACATCACGGCGGGGTACACCAGAAATGGGCTTCACACATTGTACCCATGTCGGGAATCGAACCCGGGTCTTTGGCGTGACGAGCTAACGCTTTAACCACTAGGCTACCCGACCGCCCCTACACACCAAAGCATGTACACGTGAGATCGTGTTCAACAATCAGCATATCATATGGTTGCAAACTGTAACTTTACAATACACGATCTCCAACAAATAACAGTTTTTGATATCTAGTTGCTATCTAGATATTCCTGTCAGCTGTGATCTTTGGACGTGCTTGCAATGATCAACAGAATAAAACATTACACATCCACATCATTGCCACGTAATCAAGGGAATAAAACATTACACACCCACATCCTTGCCACGTAATCAAGGGAATAAAACATTACACACCCACATCCTTGCCACGTAATCAAGGGAATAAACAAATGATGTGTCTGCTCAGTGAAGGTGACTGTCACAATTGAAACATAAAGAAGACTGTTCACTATTTCATTGGCCCACACTTCATGACGTAGATATACACACGGTTCTAGCGCAACAACAAACACTGCTTCATTGTCCACATAGATGTTTCTGGAGAAACAACGTAATATACACACGGCTCCAACAACCCCAAACACTGCTTCATTGTCCATATAGATGTTTCTGGAGAAACAAGTCATAATATACACACGGCTCCAACAGCCCCAAACACTGCTTCATTATCCATATAGATGTTTCAGGAGAAACAAGTCATAATATACACACGGCTCCAACAGTCCCAAACACTGCTTCATTATCCATATAGATGTTTCTGGAGAAACAAGTCATAATATACACACGGCTCCAACAATCGCAAACACTGCTTCATTGTCCATATAGATGTTTCTGGAGAAACAAAATAATATACACACGGCTCCAACAGCCCCAAACACTGCTTCATTGTCCATATAGATGTTTCAGGAGAAACAACGAAATATACACACGGCTCCAACAGCCCCAAACACTGCTTCATTGTCCATATAGATGTTTCAGGAGAAACAACGAAATATACACACGGCTCCAACAGCCCCAAACACTGCTTCATTGTCCATATAGATGTTTCTGGAGAAACAACGAAATATACACACGGCTCCAACAGCCCCAAACACTGCTTCATTGTCCATATAGATGTTTCTGGAGAAACAACGACATATACACACGGCTCCAACAGCCCCAAACACTGCTTCATTGTCCATATAGATGTTTCTGGAGAAACAAGTCATAATATACACACGGCTCCAACAGCCCCAAACACTGCTTCATTGTCCATATAGATGTTTCTGGAGAAACAAGTCATAATATACACACGGCTCCAACAACCCCAAAGATTGCTTCATTGTCCATATAGATGTTTCTGGAGAAACAACGAAATATACACACGGCTCCAACAGCCCCAAACACTGCTTCATTGTCCATATAGATGTTTCTGGAGAAACAAGTCATAATATACACACGGCTCCAACAGCCCCAAACACTGCTTCATTGTCCATATAGATGTTTCTGGAGAAACAAGTCATAATATACACACGGCTCCAACAACCCCAAACATTGCTTCATTGTCCATATAGATGTTTCTGGAGAAACAAGTCATAATATACACACGGCTCCAACAGCCATAACCTCTCCATTTCGGATATGACTCTAAATGCATATCAGTTGTTGAAGTATCTAAGTCCAAGATTGTAAACGCACAACATGAATGCCATACGATGGAGCATGGTAACAAAGGCTGGTATGTGTGGTCTTTATTCTGAATCTCAGTTGTTAAAGTATCTTTTTCAGTAGTTAGAACGGACACGACAATCGTTTGGTATTCGAGGGGAGTTGGTAAATTGTTGATCCTGCTTCCTATGAATCTTAGTTGATCAGCCAGCTGTAGAGCCAATGTTCTGAAGGGCGACAAAAGTACATTCCCCTCATGCCAGCTGTAGAAGCCAATGTTCTGAAGGGCGACAGAAGTACATTCCCCTCATGCCAGCTGTAGAAGCCAATGTTCTGAAGGGCGACAGAAGTACATTCCCCTCATGCCAGCTGTAGAAGCCAATGTTCTGAAGGGCGACAGAAGTACATTCCCCTCATGCCAGCTGTAGAAGCCAATGTTCTGAAGGGCGACAGAAGTACATTCCCCTCATGCCAGCTGTAGAAGCCAATGTTCTGAAGGGCGACAGAAGTACATTCCCCTCATGCCAGCTGTAGAAGCCAATGTTCTGAAGGGCGACAGAAGTACATTCCCCTCATGCCAGCTGTAGAAGCCAATGTTCTGACGGGCGACAGAAGCACATTCCCCTCATGCCAGCTGTAGAAGCCAATGTTCTGAAGGGCGACAGAAGTACATTCCCCTCATGCCAGCTGTAGAAGCCAATGTTCTGAAGGGCGACAGAAGTACATTCCCCTCATGCCAGCTGTAGAAGCCAATGTTCTGAAGGGCGACAGAAGTACATTCCCCTCATGCCAGCTGTAGAAGCCAATGTTCTGAAGGGCGACAGAAGTACATTCCCCTCATGCCAGCTGTAGAAGCCAATGTTCTGAAGGGCGACAGAAGTACATTCCCCTCATGCCAGCTGTAGAAGCCAATGTTCTGAAGGGCGACAGAAGTACATTCCCCTCATGCCAGCTGTAGAAGCCAATGTTCTGACGGGCAACAGAAGTACATTCCCCTCATGCCAGATGAACAGAGGGAGACACAAACAGTGCTGAACATACCCTTTATCATCCCAAACTGGCTCCCACAGGAGAAATCACTTGGATAAGATCAAGCGATATCTACACTGTAGATATCGCTGCAAAGAAATTACACCACAATGCTTTGCAGACCATTGTGACATCACTGGTTACCATGACGTCACAATCCAATGACATCACTAATGGCTCTGCCACTGAAGCTGTTAGCAGTACTTTTTACACTGAAGACACTGCTAATTACTGTCTACAAATTGAAAAAGTTGGAAGAATGATGTTGGATGATAAATAAAATCTCACCCTCGTGTCTTTTGATATCAAATATATCAACACTCGTCGATAAAAGTGGCAAAAGTCCTCGGCAAGCCTCGGAAATATTCCACTTTTATCAACTCGTGTTGATATATTTGATACCAAAAGACACTCGGTGAGATTCTCTATTTCTTAGGGACTCGTTTGAATGTTGAACGAAAGCATCATCAGTAATACATAGTGTGTGGTGCGAGTGCTCGCTAAGCACCATGGACTCCAATGTTGGTCAAAGTCTGAAGCACTGGTTCCTCGTCACTGCCATTCCTTTACAGGTAAGGATAAATATTTTCGCATATTCATGAAAGGATTGGGAACTCTTCTTATGACACACACTTATACATTACCTGCCAGAAACACATTTGCAAATGTTCCCAATTATCCCGCACATTGCATCTTAATGTTTCTGATTTCCCTTCTTAGTTAAAGAAATGATGTTTCTTAGCAGCTGCGTCTCAACATTTTTGCCATTGTTTCTTTTATCACATGACAAGATCCCTCTTAGATCAAGTCGAGCTTGCATGAAACATCAGTTGCCCATCCAATGGCTATCGGCGAATCTGCCCATATAGGCTGGCCATCGCTGGTGGTCGTATGGCAGCATCTGAGAGCATCTCTTATTTTGGTTCTGAGGAGCTGACATTGTTGTATTTAGACACGTGCATGTGATACGAACCCTGAAACATCAGACAAAATCCGAAATTAGTTTACGACTTCAGTTTTAGCATTTCGACCTGCGTTAAATCTAAAAACTGTAGTTCTGTCCTGGAAATTGTATATGGTAATTGTAACTGCACCTGTGTTTTGACACACAGCATATGTGTAACCTGCAGGGCAGGTTGTACAAAAACTGGGAATAAGTCCACACCTCCGCCAATACTGGACACAATGTATTGTCCGAATTCACCATGTTAATTTATCATTAAGACAAATCTAAACTTTCTTTAAAGGGGAAGTGTACACGCAAAAATCACTTTCTTTCTTTTTCTAAACAAAACACAATTTTAGAATTAATTAGTATCTGTGTTTGAAAATATACACTCATTTTTTTCACAGTGACAGTAGGAAGCTCACAATAGTGTGAAAATGATATGCCGTTATGAGGCCTTCGTTTTTCGAGCTAAACAGGCCTGAGTTATCCCCCTTAGATTATGACGTAATTGGTGCCAATTAAACTTGGTCCCTGTCTATTCTCAACGCAAAAGATATCAAGTACCAGTTTGCGGTAAAACAACATGGCCTACGACACACTCCGGCGCAGTGGTGACTCAGCATAACACTATGCTGGCTGGCATTTGAGACGCTAGAATTACACACACCTAGACCTACACCACGTGAAGCGGCTCTAACAAAGCATGATGACGTCATAATGTTTATCAATTGGCACCAATGACGTCATATTGCAAGGGGCATAAGCCATTGTGTTTGTTGTGGAAATAGAACACTTGGTAAATGTGAAAAATATAAATCGTTTAAATGCGAAAAATATCTTAATTAATTGTGATATTTTTATATTTTTGTCTATGACACTTCTAGGTTAACACTTTTAACGTGGAAAAAGTACAAGAAAAATAGGTTCATTTCCGTGTGAACTTGCCCTTTAAAGAGTCAACAACAAGCATGGAAGAGCATTAATGAACGGGGGTTAATATTTCTCGAAGGTCAAAGCTTTTTCAAATTAATGCTTATACTTTCCACAAAATGTAAGTAAGGGAAAAGATTATTTGTTTTATCAAAGGTAGGGTTCTTTTATTTAATATGGACCATCGTAGATGCAGGAAACAGACTTTAAAAAAAATAGTGTTTTGTGTTCATATTGTGACAGTGATGAAGGCAGCTTTTGTTGATGCTAAGGGGCGGTGGGGTTGCTTAGTTTTTTAAGAGTTGGCTCGTTACCCGAAGACCCAGTTTTTATTCCTCACATTGGTACTATGTGTGAAGCCCATTTTCTGGTATCCCCCGCTGCTGGAATATTGCCAAAAGAATACTCACTCACTCACTCACTCAAGCTCTCACTCACTCAAGCTCTCACTCACTCACTCACTCACGCTCTCACACACTCACTCACTCACTCACTCACGCTCTCACTCTGTTCTGACCTCTGCATGTACTGAACTAAACTTTGGTCCCGTAGATCCCTCTTAACTCTGTAGGGGCGGTGGGGTAGCCTAGTGGTTAAAGCGTTCGCTCGTCACGCCGAAGACCCGGGTTCGATTCCCGACATGGGTACAATGTGTGAAGCCCATTTCTGGTGTCCCCCGCTGTGATATTGCTGGAATATTGCTAAAAACGGCGTAAAAGCATACTTACACTTACCTCTGTAAATAAGTTACTTGTCCCACAAGGATTTGATATATGTGTAGACTTTTACATCGCCCTTGTCAATGATAAGAGAATGACTGTAGTCTAATTGTAATTGTAAATAAAAACGACAAATCCCCTTCCATAAGAAATCTTCACGTAGAGCTTTTATCAGTATTCCAGTTATATCAAGGCGTGTCAGTTTAACGTGGGAGAAAAGCCCGAAGTGATGTAGGTCTCAGACGTTTACCACTTCGGTGAAACCCACGAGCACGGGTGTGGTGCTGGTACACCTAGAAACATAATCGGGGCGAACCGGGATTCGAACCCACATCATAGGTTTCTGGCGTGCCCAAGGGAAACAACTCTGTACAGCGAATCACGGCGCCGCGGACAACTGGGCCACCCGTGTCCCCTTTTGTTTATGGAACAGTATCAAATAGTGGTATTACAGTACAGTGGTAGGAGTAGTAAGTTGGCGGAGGTGAGAGTATCCTGCCCCATGGATGGCACCCGTCACAAACACATGCAAAGGCAAGTCAATAGCTCACCTGGAAAAACACGGGATTATATGGAACGAGTCATATGGGAAATTATATCGAACATTTTTTGGTCACTGATGCGTCAAATTTGGAAATGTCCTTCACATATCTGCACTTAAACTTTGTGAAGGCTTTACTGGGGCCTTTACCTGTAGACTGTCATCTGACCCATGTGGATACTGAAAGGGTTGTAGTCGTCTTGGCTCTCGTACACTCCGTCATCTGGCAGTTCATGACCGCTCTCTTTAATGCAGTCTTTTGTGATTACGCGTTCATAGTTGTCATGGTCCAAGCCGTAGTACTCGCCTGGGTAGTCGAAAGACGAATATTTGCATCAGTATATTTCTTGCACATGTGAGATTATATTCCCGCAAACAGTTCCCATGCAGTTATGATTTATTTTTTATTGTCTATTGTGGAAGATATTCATCATTTTATTTTAAGTTTCATTTGTTGAATTTGATGTCGTATAATTTGATTGTATTATAATAGAATACATTAGGTTTTAAAACAACATAACTTACTTTTTGGATCAAAACGAATCTTCTCGTTCGCCATTTTATTCGATATGCACTTCTGATCCTTGGGTAAAACGGCGTGTGTCTTCGCTGGATAAAACCAATAGGTTGCGAATATAAAGTCCATGGTATGGTTATAATTGGGATGATCCGGGGGTAAAGATGACGGAGCCACAGTGCCCGTAGATATCAGCCTCTGAAGCCCATCCGCGTCATGTGGACCAACATGGCGTCTCTTCCGCTTCCGGTTTTCTCCATGATCCGGTGACTTCATTTTGTTACTATTACGCTTCTTCCTTCTCATATACTGCCCCTCATATCGACTGTATCCCATCTCCCTCTTCTTAATTTCTTTAAGAAGCTTTTCATTTAATTCTTTTAACTTTTCAACAGTCATAAAATTCTTCTCTTCCATCTCAGCATCTCGCTTCTCCCTCATAAAATGAAACTTTTCCGCTGGCTGCGATCTCTTCTCTGATTTATATTTAGGATAATCTTGACCATACCTATCATTGTCATCATAATCATCATCATTTCTTTGATAATATCCTGGATACTGTTGCGAGTCCGTGTTTAAATCATACGGAAGCTGGTAGTAGTCAGTGTCGTACTGGTTCCGCCTCGGAGAGTTGTCTCCCGTTGACATATAGCCGTTAATAGTGTTCCCGTACTTCCCATTATCTTTGTATCCGTTCCGATTTGGAATTCCCAAGCTGCCCCTGTTCCTTGTACCGGGCACCTGTCTATTTCTGTTCAGATCCTGTCTGGCGGGTATCTGAGCTCCCTTCTTCCGACTGGAAGTCTGTTCATTGCGGTAGTGTGCTTCAGGGGAAATGAATTCTTTAGTCGGCATCGTCAGGGATGGCATCCTGTCGTCATTGGTGACGGTGTCGTCTGTTGGCTGCTTAAAAATATAATCAACATTGAGTGTCAGGGATTGATGCATATATTTTTGTTGTCATTTTGTAATTATTTTGTTGTATTCTTCACAATATAAATTGTCAATGCAAGAGAATAACCAGCCAAGATGTTCTGCCAAAGTACCTACCACTTGGCGTAAAGGGCAAATAGCTGTGGAAATTATATGAATGGCCCACTGAAAATGAGTGACGACACCAGGTAAAAGGTAAGCATGTCCTAGCCTACTGGAAACATAAGAAAGTAAGTATTTACAATGAACATTGTCAAAGTCCAACTAACTACTGTCTCTTCCAACACGCTTTATGGCTAAAACACCCACCTGCCAAAGACCCTGAGCCTTCAAGATATACTTGTCGTAGTGGCTGTTGAGGTGTGGGTGAGATGCGATGAAGTCCAGAGCCTCTTTACTTGTGTTGACCCACACTGAGTGTTCCACACGCTGCCTGTCACCTGAAACATAGAGATACTACACGTTCAGGCTCTGGACTACAGAAGGGGAATTCAGGTACAGCCGTCATCCGAAAAATACTGACTCCCTCTGACAGCTGAGTGATGGAACATCAGAGGAGGTTTATGTGCTCACTGACAATCAAAAGAAATAACAAATAAACGCAAAAAAAGAACTTTTACGCGACAGAACAATATATAGATGTCCATGATACACGAATGCTTCATGACAGTGCCATCACACGTTCCCTGTAAACGCCATCTGACGTTAAAAGAGGCGTGGGGTCATATATCAGTTTTGGGCATGACCACTACCACAGTGACACAAGCTTAAGACCTCTACACAGAATGCTTTGTCAAGGCTTGTGGGATGTCATTCCAGATCTAGACCAACGACTGTTGTACCTGGACGAACAATACAGGCGTGAACAACGTTTCATTTGATCTATAGGGTGCGGGTTTAACAAACCAGCAAAGGGAGTGTTGGAATTTTCTGTTGCCCAATGAAGTCCTTGAGTACACATGCAACGTGGGATCGTGCATTGTCCAGGTGAGGTGAGGTGAGGTGAGGTGAGGTGAGGTGAGGTGAGGTGAGGGCAGGTGAGGTGAGGTGAGGTGAGGTGAGGTGAGGTGAGATGGGGTTTAACGTCGCTTCCAAGATTATTGCACTTATTTTGCGACATGCATGCACGTGTGTGGCTGCTTGTACTAGTCCGGACTGATGCCGATTTAAAGTGCTAGCTGACTGAGATACCATGCCGCAGTTTAACATCAATACCCCACTCAGACACAGTATACTGACTCCGAGCCGACCAGTCCTTGTTTTAGCCCCTTTTAATGCCGAGCGCCAGATAGGGTAACAACAAGTACCATCTTTTAACGTCTTTTGGTATGACGCGGCCGGGGATAGAACCCCGGACATTCAGCTCTCCGGGCGAACGCTCCACCACTAGACCACGGAGGCGGTCCTTGTCCTGCTGAAAACCCCCGGCAAGAACGTTCACAATTCTTGTTTCAAGGCTTCCAGTTCACACATCTGCTCATTTTCAGATTGGCGTGACATACCGTTTAGGAGGTTTGGCCATTAACAAAGTTGATTTTCACAATTAAAACGCTTTTATGATTTTATCTGTTTCTACGGACTCGATCCAACGTGAATGTGGGGCGACTTTCCTAATCATTGGGTTTTACACATGCAATGCCCGGAATGCACGTGCAATTTCGGGGTCTACATGGGTAATCGTGATAAATGTTTGTACATGTGAATTTATCATCCCAAACTGGCTCCCACAGGAGATATCGCTTGGATGAGATCAAGCGATATCTACACTGTAGATATCGCTGCAATCAAATTGCATCACAATGCTTTGCAGACCATTGTGACGTCACTGTTATCATGACGTCACAGTCAAATGACATCACTTATGGCTCTGCTACTGAAGCTGTTAGCAGTTCTTTTTACACTGAAGACATTGCTAATTGTAAACCTATAGAAAGTGTGTTCTGTGTTGTGATTGGCTAATTTGGGTCACATGACCAAATGTCAGAGGGTGAAAATATGATTTGAATTCCCTGAAGCAAGCGACCGAATCACTGTGTAGGAATACATAATTACTCAATATTTTTTGCATACTAATTAACAATGGACGCAAATTGAAATACAAAATTCATAACAAATGTTTTGATTTTCTCTATTCATGGGAATTATTGGGATTATTGAAATAATTACCAAAATCTCAATCACCATAGCGACTAACGCGCTCCTGGCGAATCCTGAGATATCACTGTTCTGTATATCAAACGGCATAAATAAAAATCCAAGACCAAGCCAATTCTTCAAGAAATATGTGCATATAATTTAACGAAAAATAATATCCATTTTGGTTAAGTTATATCGTCAGTTTTAGTTATAAAATAAAATGAAACGGCTATTCATGGACACTATTTATATGAATTTATAATATTGACTATAACACTCCCTAGAAATACATGATGAAATGTAAATGTACCTGTCACATGTACACTTGTTCAAATTAAAGAAATATCGTATACGACACTATAAACTTATCAACTTCATATGTGAACATTGTTCAAACAAACAGGAGATTATCAAACGTTCATATAATGTTGTGGCCTATATCTACGTATGATATCATATTGAACATTGATTAATATCCAAAGTGAAATTAATTGTGTGAATTTTTTTTACAAAAGATATGCAAGATCTACATCATGAAACAGTAAAGAGCAGTTAAAAATGATCGTTTGTACTTTCATTCAAGGACCTTCACCTCGTGGAAATTACCAAATATGTACAACAAATATGTTGAAGTTTGACATCACTACCGGTGACCGAATTTTACAAAATGGCGTGTTGACTGTCAACAGTGCGCGGGATTTTACGAGGGGACTTTCGTTGATTCAGGGTTCGTATATACATAAATGTGACATGTAAGTAATCAGAAACATTCTGACAATCTGTGTACTGTTTTTTGTTGCTGTATTTTTCATTGAAACCAACGAAAATAGTCAGAAATTCTGATAAATACTGTTATCGTTGTGATTTTGCGTCAGTCATGGCGTCACACAGGACGGGAACTTCGACAAGTTCTGTTGAAAATATCAAATTATTGCAATGTATATATGTTTAATTCCCTAATTCTTCCTACGATTCTCTTCCCGTGTATATTCTGAAAATGCAGATCTCGAGCCAATGTACTCAACGAATAGACGAATGGCTTTGTTTACATTTCCAACAAGTGCAGTTTTTTCAGCGTTCGTTTTCACACCTCATTTATTTTGCTTCATTACATCTAGACAATTTGTATTGGTGACAAAGACCATTTGGCATTTGATTCTAAAATGTATGAGGAATTCAAGGATGTAGGTATCGCAGCTGAAATATACGTGATGGTATTTGCGTCTCATTACCGGTGTACGTCTATTACCAAAATCACAATCACCATAGCAACAACAGAACGTTCGATGTTGACGCCTCACAACCGAGTAAGTACGAGGTGTTAAAGAGTGCGCATGTTTTTTTTCTAAATAAAACAATAGGTTTACAATATCGATAAATACTATGTGTGTGTCTATTTCCGGGATTTTATCGAGTATTTGCATCTTGGAAATTTTCATTCGAGCCCCTCAAGCTAACGCTTTCGGGTCTCGAGATGAATTTCCAAGATGCAAATACTCGATAAAATCCCGGAAATAGACACACACATAGTATTTATCTTCTAATTACTGTCTACAAACTGAAAAAGTTTGAAGAATGATGTTGGATGATAAGTAAAATCTCACCCTCGTGTCTTTTGATATCAGATTTATCAGATATATCAGATAATACAGATGTGTGTCGACTTCATGAACCGAGGTCCAAGAGAAATGCCCTTATCCTTTAATGTCACTACTGGTCGGAACAACCATACGTCACCCACTTAATTCTTATTTGGTTTTACCTGAATAATACACTGTTTTCCCTGGTGGCGCCACGTGTGAACTCAATGCAAAGACTTTGCTGAAGCCCTTGGTCTTGAAGCGAAGTTTACAGAAGTCGGACCGGCTCTGTTCATGGACGTTTGTGCCTGAAAGTGGAGAACAATTACTATGATGTTGTTGTTGTTTGTTGTTTGTTGTTTAACGCCACGCTCAGCAATATTCCAGCTATATGACGGCGGTCTGTAAATATCGTGTCTGGACCAGACAAGACAATGATTGATATCATGAGCATCAATCTACGCAATTGGATACGATGACATGCTTCAACCAAGTCAGCGAGCCTTAGCACCCGTTCCCGTTAGTCGCCTCTTACGACAAGCATACAGTCATCTGCGTGGGTTGCTGAAGACATTTTCTACCCCGCATCCTCTCGGGTAACAATCCATTTTGAGACGTACGTACCATTTCGGTGTGAAGATGTGGGGTTTTACGTCGCGTCCAAGATTATTGCACTTATATAACGACGTGCATGCACGTGTATGTGAGTGTGTGTGTGTGTGTGTGAGAGTGTGTGTGTGTGTGTGTGTGTGTGTGTGTGATACTCCGGACTAATGTCTATTTTATAGTGCTAGCTCACTGAGATACCATGCCCCCGTTTAACATGAATACCCCACTCAGATACAGTATACTGACTCCGAGCCGACCCGTCTTTGTTTTAGCCCCTTAATGCCGAGCGCCAGACAGGGTAACAACAAGTACCCTCTGAGCGGTCACTCCTACCACTAGACCACGGAGGCGGTCATCTTAGCATCTGAAGGTGCACTTTGCATCTGAGGACGAACGAACGACGCTACTGTTCAAGTCTAACTTAATCATGCACTAATCTCCTGTTTCCATTTCAAGAGTGATTTCTAATCAAGCGAATCATTGCTTTTATTTATTATGCACTTGCACTTGTTCTAAGACTGTGGTTGGGTAGCCTAGTCGTTACATCGAAGGTCCGGGTTCGAGTCCATACAATGGTTCTACATGTGAATACCATTTCTGGTGTACTTGCCGTTATATTGCAATTGCAACAGTGACGTAAAACCATGCTCATTGTATCACTAAAACTGATTTTTGTTGTTTAATGCCGCTCTCAGCAATATTCCAGCAATATTGTTATTTGGACCGTTGGCTTTGGTTTGTTGTTTTATGCCGCACTCAGCAATATTCCAGCTATACGGCGGCGGTCTGTAAATAATCGAGTCTGGAACAGACAATCCAGTGATTTACATCATGAACATCGATCCACGCAATTGGGATCGATGACATGCATCAACCAAGTCATGACCTCTGTATTGAATAAATTAGCTTTTCTAGTCAGTCTTGTCTTGGTCTACCTTTCAGAAAGTTGAACTCCTCTCCCCCTCCCTCGTGGTCCTCACAGTCTGCCAGCCAGTACAGGAAGATGTCGTTGCCCCTCCCCTCCAGGCTGATGGTCAGGGAGGAGGTCTGTGCCCCCACGGTGTCCCTCACTGACTGATCCAGGAGGGGGGCACCTGTCCTGCCGTCCAGCACCGTTGTCTGTGGGAAGACAAATACAAGTCAGGATTACGGACTACTGACCAAGGTCAATTTACTGTTTTCCACTTTAACAAAGGTATAAACTGTTCATGTTGTGTGTGGACGATGATCATGAGAGTTAAGTCACCAGTATACTGATCTTTTGTTAATCGCTGCGAACAGGAGAATACCGGAGACAAGTACAGTAAACTACGGTTGTAACGAACACGCTTATAACGAACTGATGGATATAACGAGCTTACTTTTTGGTCCCGACTATTTGCTGTAGTTTTGCTGTATTTGCTTATAACGAACTACGGTTATAACGAACTGAAATTAGTGGTCCCTTTGAGTTCGTTATAACCGTAGTTTACTGTACATTTGTCATCCCAAACGATTGTTAACGTCATGCATGTGAGTTTTTTCTGAAAAACCACAAGAATCTATTTAGGCCATACATTGTTTGACGTTCCTCATTCAGATGTTATCGAATGTTACACTACAGAACCTTAACAGACAATGAACACAATAACATGCAACAATCCATGAATATAACGGACAAAGGGCGAGGTAGGGTAAAAGATCTTTTTGGGCTCTGAATGTGTCAACCTTTATCAGACATATTCAAATGGCTGACATATAACCTTGTGGGTCCCTTACACTTGCAATATTTGGAGTGAGTGAGTGAGTGAGTGAGTGAGTGAGTGAGTTGTGTTTCACGCCGCTTTTAACAGTATTCCAGTTATATCGCGGCGTGTCAGCTTAATGTGGAAGGAAAGCCCGAAGTAATGCAGGTCTTAGACGTTTACCACTTCGGTGAAACCCACGAGCACGGGTATGGTGCTGACAAACCTAGAAACATAATCGGGGCGAACCGGGATTCGAACCCACAATCATAGGTTTCTGGCGTGCCCAAGGGACGCAACTCTGCACAGCGAATCGCGGCGCCCAAGACGACTGGGCCACCCGTGCCCCCTGCAATGTTTGGAACTGTTGCCATGCTCCCGTATACAAAACTACCTTACACGATTGAAAAAGGTAGCTCTAAGTCAAAGTCTGTGACCCAAGATTTTCTTTATATTTGTGACGTCATCAGCTACGACAGTCAGCTTGTACGAAGAGGTGTTCAAATACAAAAACAACCGATTCATGAAAACCTCCATCTTCCCGAGGCAAGCCTGTCCACTAGCCTTTATGAAAGCCTAGTTTCTACCCTTGCCACATCAAGGCCACATTTCTTGGCTCGACCCTGGCGCCACCTTGCGTAGACCAAGCATCGGGAACATGGAAAACCTCTAAAATCAATCTGTTTGACCCAGTTCATCAATACCTATGTATTGGTTGTTGTCATTAGTCCCTACCATATAACTAATGAAATGAACATGAGTTATTTATCATGCCTATGGCTATATCTAATAGTTCAAAACAATTTCTAAAACGTTTGCTCAATTCTTAACTTATACACATCCTACCCTGACCTCACAACAGTCCTCTGGGTCTCGGTATAACCATCTTTACTGTATTTTAATTAGTATTCTAATACTTGTAATATGTATATATTTGGGGCATTAAATTGATGGTGTGTCTTATTAACCCAGATACGTTTTGGGTATTGGGACACAAATCCTTTAAAGCCAGTATTCTTACACTGTTGAATCCCACGCGAATATCGCACATGTAAGCTTTGTATCTCCCCTGTCATAGCCGACGAGTTCCACTACCTCTTTAGATGTGAGTATTTTGACCAGCAAAGAAAAACATTAATTTATAATAGATATCTAAACTGGTCAAACATTATTTCCTTTAAGCATTTGATGTCAAATATGAGAACTTACAATCTTAAAATACTGTCTAAATTTGTAAAAATATTACTTTCTGCACTAAAGTAAAGCACTGTTGCCACTTGATCACATTGTATTTTTGTATATATGTAAGTTATTATGTTGCTCATATACTACCGGTCGGCGGTTTGAGTTAATAAAGAACTTGAACTTGACAAACAAAAAAACAATGCCTTCACAAGGCCTTCACAATGCCTTCACAATGCCTTCAGATGTTGGGAGTCGAACCAGTTATGTCTTAGCTACCGGGATTGCACGTATTTAAGCCAACAGTTTTTAGCTCATGGGCATAAACAGGAGATTTCTTATCCGATTTTGTAGCCCATGGGCTTAAATTAAAACCACAATTTCGCGTGATCCACCAACACGTAGAATGTAACGTCAGTATATGAATAATCGAGACTTTTACAAACTGTTAGCTCAGTGCCATGCTTCCATACTTATGGGACAGATTGGTGTCCTCGATTGTATTGATAATTGGTGTTTAAGTACCGATTTAGTGTCTTATTGCACTTTTAAATTAGACCATATTTCATTCATTAAAATTGAATGAAATGGCGTGTTTACATATGGTCCAAACATAAGCCCAGAGCTTAATTATGGATGACGTATTCGACTGCAAAAGGTTATATAGCCCGTTGTAAGGCCCCGGGCTTAAATACAAGCATTCCTGGCATGGATCTTCCCATCAACACGTGGACATTAACCTCGGAGTAGTGGGGCGGTCGGGTAGCCTAGCGTTCTCTCGTCACGCCGAAGAGCCGGGTTCGATTCCCCACATGGGTACAATGTCTGAAACCCCTTTCTGGTGTCCCCCGCCGTGATATTGCTGGAATATTGCTAAAAGCGGCGTAAAACCATACTCACTCACTCACCTCGGAGTAGTAGTACACGGGGAATCCTGGTCCGTGAGAAAACTTCACCAGAAAGTCTGGCACGTCATCGTCGTTGTAGAAGCCGGCAGCTGGAGTGCTGAAAGGACAATGACAGATCCTAACACCATTGAAGGTCGTTTCTATTTACTGATCACATCCTTCTGTTGTTGATATATGTCATCCTATATCTACGTCATTGACACTGTCGTGTTTACCTGCACATAGCATTGATACTGTCGTGTTTACCTGCACATAGTGACACTGTCGTGTTTACCTGCACATAGTGACACTGTCGTGTTTACCTGCACATAGCATTGATACTGTCGTGTTTACCTGCACATAGCATTGATACTGTCGTGTTTACCTGCACATAGTGACACTGTCGTGTTTACCTGCACATAGCATTGATACTGTCGTTTTTACCTGCACATAGCACTGACACTGTCGTGTTTACCTGCACATAGCACTGACACTGTCGTGTTTACCTGCACATAGCATTGATACTGTCGTGTTTACCTGCACATAGTATTGACACTGTCGTGTTTACCTGCACATAGCATTGATACTGTCGTGTTTACCTGCACATAGTGACACTGTCGTGTTTACCTGCACATAGCATTGATACTGTCGTGTTTACCTGCACATAGCACTGACACTGTCGTGTTTACCTGCACATAGCACTGATACTGTCGTGTTTACCTGCACATAGCATTGACAGTGTCGTGTTTACCTGCACATAGCATTGACACTGTCGTGTATACCTGCACATAGCATTGACACTGTCGTGTGTACCTGCACATAGCATTGACAGTGTCGTATTTACATGCACATAACGTTGACACTGTTTTTGTTAACCTGCACATAGTGACACTGTCGTGTGTACCTGCACATAGCATTGACACTGTCGTGTGTACCTGCACATAGCATTGACACTGTCGTGTTTACCTGCACATAACATTGACACTGTCGTGTTTACCTGCACATAGCATTGACACTGTCGTGTGTACCTGCACATAACATTGACACTGTCGTGTGTACCTGCACATAACATTGACACTGTCGTGTGTACCTGCACATAACATTGACACTGTCGTGTGTACCTGCACATAACATTGACACTGTCGTGTGTACCTGCACATAGTGACACTGTCGTGTGTACCTGCACATAACATTGACACTGTCGTGTTTACCTGTACGATTCCGACAGGGGCAGGGTGTAGTTCCACAACTGAGTGTAGTCGTAGCCGTCGAAGGCGATGGTGCTGGAGTTGAAGGTGGAGATGATGATGTCCTGGACGCCATCCCCGGTGATGTCAACAAGGACCGGAGGCGTCATGACCCCCTTATACTCGTCAGTGTATATTTTCACAGCCTGAAATACAGTAGTGACGGTATAGAAGCAATGACGTTCCACAAAGTGATCTCAGCGTTATAACTATCGTAGCCATATATTCAAATATGGGAGATACGATCACCTCAGCGTTAAGATCGCTTTGTGCAACGGACCTCTGATTTCCTACCTAGTCCACCATTTCTGCGTCAAGCTCCTGAATGTGAGACCAGGGTTTAACGCCACTTTTAACACATCATCCCGAGGCAAGGGCGTAAAAGTCCATTTCCCACCCTTGCCGAACTAGACTGGGATTCCAGAGTTACATTTTGGCTGGATTAACGAGTCTATGCATAGTCCAATCAAAATGCCGAAACGAACGACATGGGTTTCAACGTGCAGATTTCGGTCGACTGCAGGATTTGCAAAGCATGTGTACCGCCAACTGGGCGTCGACAGATATTTTGAAATGTTTTTAATGTTATTAATCGAGGTGCTCAAGTGACTTGATTCACACTGGGTAAGACCTGTTTTGTTACAATTTAGATCTTTATTATCGATCAAATCGACTTGACTGGGCGCGGCCATTTTGTTCGAAGTAAATGCAAGTGATATGAGAGATGGAATCTGATTGGTCAATAGGAGGGACATAGGAGGGGCATTGAAGGTGCATAACTCGTAATAGCCGCTGATGGCGCTATGATCGAGCCTGGAAATACCAGCCTGGTTCGGCAAGGGTGGAAACTCGACTTTTATAGTCAGTTAACGCCCGTGACTCGGGAAGATGCTTTCAATAGTATTTCAGTGATATCAGGGCCTGTACGTTTCATTATGTACAACGGCGTGGTGCAGACAAACCAAGAACTATAACCATTGAGAATAAGGGAATCAAACTTGTACAGAGGATGTATTACATTGAATTAATGTGGCACGTTTTGGTCATAATCGTTAGACAGTGAAAAGGTTTTAATATTTCCTGATTGCAAAACAAAAGGCCAAGCGCGGAATGGAGTGGTGATAACACGTAGATTTAACTGCTCCTCTGGGAGAACATTGCATCCATAAAACTGCGCTGACTTTTTTCAGTACTGGTCAAAAAGTTGAATTTTTTAAAATATGTGTACCTAGGTCAATAGGTAAGTGAGTGAGTGATTATGGTTTTACGCCGCTTTTAGCAATATTCCAGCAATATCATGGCGGGGGACAACAGAAATGGGCTTCACACATTGTACCCATGTCGGGATTCGAACCCGGGTTAATAGGTAAGTGTAGGATGTTATCTCATGTTTATTAACTGCCGGGCAAAGGAAAGCATACAGCAAGGTTTGATGTTTGTTAAAAATAAAACAAACAGGTAATGATTATTCGAAAAAGGTAATTTGAGGGTATCATAGTTTTGTTTTTTTTTAAGTTTGCAATGTAAAGGTTTCAGCCCAGTAACGTATAAAACGTTTTTGGTCAAATACAATTTTCAAGTGTACATTTGCAGATATTTTAGTGAGCCGACAAACATTCTGGTGTTCTTGATTTTTGTTTGTTTTGAACCTTGTTTTAACGCCGTACTCAGCAATATTGTGACTGCGGTCTGTAAATAATCGAGTCTGGACCAGACAATCCAGTGATTGACATCATGAGCATGGATCCACGCAATTGGGATACGATGACATGCATCAACCAAATCAGCGAGCCTGACCACCCGATCCCGTTCGTCGCCTCTTACGACAAGCATAGTCACCTTTTACGGTTGAGGGTTGATGAAGACCTATTCCACCCCGGATCTTCACGGGCCTTGTAGGTAATAGTTATATATTAAACAGTTCTAACGTTGTATGTTATGTCTGACCCGACAGAGTGAGGTATTAGATGTTTAAAGAAATGACAGGGCGGTCGGGTAGCCTAGTGGTTAAAGTGTGCGCTCGTCACGCCGAATACCCGGGTTCGATTCCCCACATGGGTACAATGTCTGAAGCCCATTTCTGGTTTCCCCCCACGTGATATTGCTGGAATATTGCTAAAAGCGGCGTAAAACCATACTGGCTCTTTAAAGAAATGACGGAACACAAGTTTTCTACTACGCTGCGATAAGGACTCCCAAGTTGTTTCCAAATATAAATCGCCTTTTACGGCAGGCAAGGGTTTCTGTAGACCTATTCTACCCCGGGTCTGGTGTTCTTGGACGTTGAATCTGTCTAGTGCCTCTATAATCACATGGCTCCGTCCTACACACACCTTCTGAACCTGGCCCTTGAACAGATGATTCAGCGTGATCCTCCAAAGCGACCCCGCGTGCGTCTCTCCCCCCGTCCCGAACAGCACGATCTGCGTCCCATCCAGCTGGGTGTACACCTGGGGGGAGTAGTACGTCTCCCTCTGGTCCGGCACCCCCACCCACCGCAACACCTCACCGGTGCGGCCGCTGAAGAAGATGAGTCGGCCCGTCAGGCGGAACTCGCTACCTAAACACAGAAAGTAGAGATAAGATGGGTCTACCCGTCAGGCGGAACTCGCTAACTGATCACAGAAAGTAAAGATAAGATGGGTCTTCCCGTCAGGCGGAGCTCGCTTCCTGAACACAGAAAGTAAAGATAAGATGGGTCTACCCGTCAGGCGGAACTCGCTCCCTGAACACAGAAAGTAAAGATAAGATGGGTCTACCCGTCAGGCGGAACTCGCTACCTGAACACAGAAAGTAGAGATAAGATGGGTCTACCCGTCAGGCGGAACTCGCTCCCTGAACACAGAAAGTAAAGATAAGATGGGTCTACCCGTCAGGCGGAACTCGCTCCCTGAACACAGAAAGTAGAGATAAGATGGGTCTACCCGTCAGGCGGAACTCGCTACCTGAACACAGAAAGTAGAGATAAGATGGGTCTACCCGCCAGGCGGAACTCGCTCCCTGAACACAGAAAGTAAAGATAAGATGGATCTACCCGTCAGGCGGAATTCGCTCCCTGAACACAGAAAGTAAAGATAAGATGGGTCTACCCGTCAGGCGAAACTCGCTCCCTGAACACAGAAAGTAAGATAAGATGGGTCTACCCGTCAGGCGGAACTCGCTCCCTGAACACAGAAAGTAAAGATAAGATGGGTCTACCCGTCAGGCGGAACTCGCTCCCTGAACACAGAAAGTAAAGATAATATGGGTCTACCCGTCAGTCGGAACTCGCTCCCTGAACACAAAAAGTAAAGATAAGATGGGTCTACCCGTCAGGCGGAACTCGCTACCTAAACACAGAAAGTAAAGATAAGATGGGTCTACCCGTCAGGCGGAACTCGCTCCCTGAACACAGAAATTAAACATAAGATGGGTCTACCCGTCAGTCGGAACTCGCTCCCTGAACACAGAAAGTAAAGATAAGATGGGTCTACCCGTCAGGCGGAACTCGCTACCTGAACACAGAAAGTAGAGATAAGATGGGTCTACCCGTCAGGCGGAACTCGCCACCTGAACACAGAAAGTAGAGATAAGATGGGTCTACCCGTCAGGCGAAACTCGCTCCCTGAACACAGAAAGTAAAGATAAGATGGGTCTACCCGTCAGGCGGAACTCATGACCATTGTAAGAACGTAAAACACTCAAGGGGTCCACAACCGTGTCTCTACCCCTTACCCCAACCCCAGTCCTACTGTAACACCCCCACGCGCCACCCCAACACCTCCACCCCGCCCCGCCGAATAAGAAACAATTTTATCACGAATTTGCACATGCGTATGTCCTGTCCTACCAACAGCACCTGTCGTGAGTGATGTTCAAGGTCACGTCTTTGTAGACACGTATTGTTTTACACGGTATTGCTGACAAACAAAACGGACGAGATCACTGCCGTGTTAGGCAAATGCTTTCATTTGAGGATTGACTGTGTATTGTTTTCGTTTCATTGAGGTATGAATAATATAACCGATGTGAAAACTGTATTCTTAGAAAAGTTTCACATCGGTTTTTCTATTCATACCTCAACGAACTGAAAAAATATACTGTCAATCTTTATAATTAAATTAGACAGCGAAAACATGTATTATCTGCAATAGTATAATAAAAAACAGTTATGCAAATCAAAGCAGAAAAAATGACGAGAATGATAAACATTCCAGGTGTAGGAATACATACTGTGGCGTGACATGAATCAGGTGATCGTTTATTTTATGCACATAACTTGACACGCCCACAAATCAGTAGCCAATAAACGGAGAGAAGGATCAAAACAATGTTCATAGGACCTGTCAATCAAAGAAAGAGGCGAGAAGAACTGCAACAGTCAGACTGTAACGAGCCGGAACAAATATGTCCGAGAAGGCGGCTGTTTCAAATGACATAGTCAGTTACCGACAAACATTAGTTCCCTGAGAAACGGAAGACACAGTTGGGAAAATGCGAATTAGAAATTAACCCCAAAGACATGAAATTTGTGGAACCAAGACGAGCGAGGCTCAAAAGGTGGGTTGGACCATGAATATGCATGAATGTCGCTAAAAAGTCCTGTGCATAACGATGTAGGTAGCAGAAAAGGAGTTCCCTTAACAGTGATATTGGGATTCCATAGTAATGGAAGTAGTCCGCTTTCCTGGGAAATAAACACACTCCGCCGCAGTGGTGACTCAGCATAACACCACTGCCACAGGCTAATTTGAATATCACGTGACCGGCCTTTTCTCTTGTTTGTAAACAAAAGCGCTTTTTCAAAATCAGAATAGAACGGGCTTATGAAAGTATTTGGGGTAGCTTTACATATTGTTTTGTATAATTATATAGATATACTACTATAACTGCGACAGTGAGTTGCATGACAATACATATATATTCATCAAAGTGACCGTATCGCTAGCTCTCCGTAGGGCTTCGACGACAGCACGTGGAGCCGTACAACCAATGTAAACATAGGATAACTAGGTAAATGGAAATAGTTTTTCACGATTTAGGATATCTTGTCAATGAAAGTTAACCATTCTATGACATATGTTTATCTAGATATGTAGACGTGTCAAAAATGAAACGGATGAAAGCGTAGACAATGTCTTGAATGGACTGTGAAAGATGTGACGAATCGTCACATGGCGCTGGCCTGTGGCAGAGGTACTATGCTAGCAGGGAACTCTGGGAGGAGAGTGGGAAATGAATGCAATAACACGTGACCACTTCAGCTAATGAGAATGCAGGAATTACAACGAACACAACGAAAATTTAATAATTTACCTGGATCCTGTAGGGGGTCGCCGCCATGTGCAGCCAGGACGTCGACGACGCCATCGTGGTCGAGGTCAGCGACGACCTGTGCGGTGTACAAGTTCATGATGCTGTTCCGGGATTCCTGGTCGCCGAAGTTCCACAAGAGTTGTCCGTCCTTGCCGCTTACGGCCTGGAACGTCTGGAAGTACACACGTCGTGGTGACGCCGACAGACGTTTCAAGATACATGTCATTTGAGTGAGTGAGTTGGATTTTACGCCGCTTTTAGCAATATTCCAGCAATATCACGGCGGGGGTTACCAGAAATGGGTTCACACATTGTACCCATGTCGGGAATCGAACCCGGGTCTTCGGCGTGACGAGCGAACGCTTTAACCACTAGGCTACCCGACCGTCCCCTTCGCCAAGCGACAGGACATCCTTTAGTGTTATAAGCTGCCGGACAAGAGAGAGAATTCGGATTGGAATTGCATTTGACCAATCACAAAAGTTATTGACCCGTGAAGATCCGGGTTAGAATAGGTCTTCAGCAACCCATGCTTGCCATAAAAGGCGACTATGCTTGTCGTAAGAGGCGACTAACGGGATCGGGTGGTCAGGCTCGCTGACTTGGTTGATGCATGTCATCTACCCCAATAGCGTGGATAGATGTTCATGGTATCAATCACTGGATTGTCTGGTTCAGACTCGAATATTTACCGACCTCCGTCATATAGCTGGATTATTGCTGAGTGCGGCGTTAAACAAACAAACAAACATTTGCACAAGTTACCATTGGAAGATGACGTTAATAGACAAATGGGCTATCAAGTTTTACTTTTTCAAATGCTCTCCTTTACCTTCACGTAAGGTTCATAGTCTGACAATTGACTTGCCTTGGCATGTGTTTGTGACTCGTGCCACCAGTGGGTCAAAATACGATCAACTTTTCGCGAACACCTGGTATCATCACTATTTGATAGTCATTCATAAACAAATGCTCTTGTGGCCATTGAAATACTTTTCTCGCTTTTATTTCATTCATTCATTTCCAATTGTTGCACCAGCAAATATTTTAAATATTTGACGTCAATCGCAAACTAAGTCACTACATGCGCAACATCAGGTGAGTAAATATATTTGAAGCCTAGGATGTGTTTGGAATACATCACCGCCATTTTCTTTGTAAAAGGGACAACCCCTACCCTCGCGAACACACCCACACCACACCCCTACCCCCACCAACGCACACCACCCTTCCCCCCAGGAACCGTGTTCAAGTTTCTTGGGGATGTTTGTTTTGGGCCGAGTGGGCTCAATGGTAGGGGCAGGTAACTCTTGTACCGTCAAACGTAAGACAAACAGCAGGGAATGCAGTTTGAGAAAGGGAGGGAACTCCTGACGGCTTGTTTATTTCTCTCTTCAAAATGCCGACCACAAGTGTCTGATGCGGCCGTTCAATACCACACAATGCTGCAGAATCACAACACCCTGGGATAATAGGAGACAGGGTGCAGTGATCTAAATGAACACTATCGATTGCTCCTGGGTCTCATTCGATGAGAGAGACGGCGGCAACCCAGGTAACCTCCTTCAAATTACAGTTCACTTCGCTGCGCGTGCTCTGACTACGTGTGTAGGAAAGTGGGCCCTGGAGACGGAGCCCAGCCAATTTCCCGGTTTCGGCACTACGTGCGACTTTGTGAGAGCCCCTCGTCTGATGTTCCGCTGTCTGGGTTCTGAGACTGAACCACTACATGGAATATTTGTTGGAAATGGCTTGGGAAATGTTTCAAAGACAACACAGCATGGCAAAATAAACAGCCCCTTCACAGAAGTTCCCGTCAACACTCACGGACGTTCTTAATTAATATTCCACACTAATTGACGTGAAATACCGAAATACAAGATATTTGGACGGGTAACTCGGGTGGTAGGGTCGGGTGGGAACTGAGTAGGCCCCGGGTACCCACAGGACTACCCGCACCCATGGTTAGTCACATGATATATTATTTAATGACAAACGAAGTTATCTAGAACTTCAAGGCTATACTACACAAGTCGCTAATACACGATACCTTCTGACTTTCAGTCAAATTCAGTGTACGCATGACCAGATCGTCCTATATCTATATCTAAGTGCATTTTGCCAGGGTTCGGTCAAACTAGTCCCAGTCAGACATTTTGTACCCATCTCTTGAGACCTACAGCGGGTACCCGGGTGGGGAAGGGTAAAAGTGTGTTGGGTACCCGGGTAGTAAATATGGACTCGTCCAAGCCCTTGCAATACACGGCAGTATTCCTCCACACAAAGCTTCAACCGTCGCTCTCCTGTGCCTTCACATAAGGTTCAAAGGCTGACAATTGACTTGCCTTGGCATGTGTTTGTGACTCGTGCCACCAGTGGGTCAAAATACGATCAACTTTTCGCGAACACCTGGTATCATCACTATTTGATAGTCATTCATAAACAAATGCTCTTGTGGCCATTGAAATACTTTTCTCGCTTTTATTTCATTCATTCATTTCCAAATGTTGCACCAGCAAATATTTTAAATATTTGACGTCAATCGCAAACTAAGTCACTACATGCGCAACATCAGGTGAGTAAATATATTTGAAGCCTAGGATGTGTTTGGAATACATCACCGCCATTTTCTTTGTAAAAGGGACAATCCATACAACCAAGCCCTCCAATACATTTCGCGTCTTATCTCCGTGTTTGGACTTTAACGTATCTAATATAAAAGTTATTATATTCGTGAGTCCTGTTCATATACATATATTCCGCGTCCGTGGTCCAGCGGTGGAGCGTCCGTCCGGAGGGCGGAAGGTCGTGGATTCGATCCCCGGCCGCCTCATAGTAAAAATCGTCAAAAGATGGTACTTGTTGTTACCCTGCCTGGGGTTCGGTATTAATAGGCTAAAACAAGGACTGGTCGCCTCGGAGTCATTATTCTGTATCTGAATGGGATATTCACGTTAAAGTGTGGCATGGTTTCTCAGTAGGCTAGCAGTATAAAATCGGCATGACTTGTCTGGAGTAGTACAAGCAGCCACACACGCACGCACGTACACACGCACATGCACACGCACACGTTATGTACGTGCAAGAATCTTGGACGCGACATTAAACCCGATGTCATCCCACCTCGTATATATGGTGATGTTAAGTTTGTACTTCTTGTCACGACCCGTGAAGATTCCGGGGTAGAATAGGTCTTCAGCAACCTATACTTGACGTAAAAGGCGACTATGCTTGTCGTAAAAGGCGACTAACGGGTGGTCAGGCTCGCTAGCTTGGTTGATACATGTCATCGATCCCAATTGCGTGAATCGATGCTCATGATGTCAATCACTGGATTGTCTGGTCCAGACTCGATTATTTTTCAGACCGCCGTCATATAGCTGGAATATTGCTGAGTGCGGCGTTAAACAACAAACAAACAAACAAACAAACTTCTTGTCACACTACCTGGCGATCTAATCGGCATTAATGGACTAAAACGAGGACAGGTCGGCTCGTCACGCGTCCATCAACGTCGCCACATAAGTGCGTTATTAAACCCTATTTCACCTCACCTCACCTTTAAGCACTGACAATAAAATAATAACACTAATTTAAACGGTGACCTTGACCTTATACTTAACTGACAACAGAGGTATAGAGAATTCAGCATAAGAGATACTCTGTAAATAAATTGGTCAGAAATGTTAAAACAGATTGCCACAGGAAACTGAGTTTCTTGGTAAGGTTCTCATTGACAGTAACAGGGAAATGGTTTTAGGAGGAACACTGCGTACACGAGGAGCTTAAACCGACCAATCAGAGACCCTATCTCGGCATCGCCGATCTGGTCAATATCCGGTTCTCCAGGCCATAAATGATGGATAACTTGTCAAATAACCTTCCACATCCGCTTGGTAAAATAGGTCCTTTTGAGATACTGTTTCTGTGCAGCGGATGAATTTTAATTGTAAATGCCGTGTTGCTATGATTTGACACATTCGTTGACATTCTTTTTCTAAAGGTTTGACGTACATGGCCTTGCTAATTAAAAAAACGCAAAGATGATGTCACTTTGCTTATATTTTAGTGGATTATGTACTTGTTGGTTTGTTGTCTAACGCCGCACTCAGCAATTTTCCAGTTGTATGACGGCGGTCTGTAAATAAGCGAGTTTGGACCAGACATTCCAGTCATTGACATCATGAGCATCGATCCACGCAATCGGGATACGATGACATGCATCAACCAAGTCAGCAACCTGACCAGCCGATCCCGTTAGTCGACTCTTACGACAAGCATAGTCGCCTCTTACGGCACGCATGGGTTGCTGAAGACCTATTCTACCCCGGAATCTTCACGGATTGCGGATTCTATAAGGCGAAGTGGTGGAGGTATGTACAGGATAAACTGTGATCTCACTGCAGTCGTATCATATCGCCACTGCAGAATCAACCTCGCCCCCAGCAATAGGGGCGAATTACTCTTCAACACGTGTGGGTATTTGAAAAAGAATCTACATGTCATACCCTTCTGATAATGAGTGATGTTATTTTTCCGGAGTGACGTTGTCGAATATGTTTAAAACAAATGTGTTGACAAAATAGCGGATACTGTACCACTTCGCACTTTCTTATTGGTCAGTCATGTTGCTTGATTTACAGTTATTCACAACGGTACTTTCCCAGCGACAAAGTCCTGATAACATCTATCGGGTGAAGGACTCACTGTTTAGAGTAATGTCAGTCCTATGTATATAGATTGTGGTCGTTGTACAACCATGTAGTTTCTATATTTGGAGGGGCGGTCTGGTAGCCTAGTGGTTAAAGCGTTCGCTCGTCACGCCGAAGACCCGGGTTCGATTCCCGACATGGGTACAATATGTGAAGCCCATTTGTGGTGTCCCCCGCCGTGATATTGCTGGAATATTGCTAAAAGCGGCGTGAAACCTCACCCACTCACTCACTCTATATTTGGTTAAAGTAAACATTATGATAGCTAGTTAAATAATCGAGCTATCTGAATGTCCAGCCTCCATCTTCTAAAACCCTCTCCAATTAAGTCGGCTGGCCTTCCTGTACATGAAGTTCGACGTGACGTCAGTGTTTATTACGTCACAACTACCTTGTTCCAACTTCGAATTACAATACTTAGAATCCAGTGGTGATCACAAGTAACCACACGCCAATATTCCATCGAAATATTTTTGGGGGATTGGTTTGTTTGTTGTTTAACGACGCAATGAACAAGTTCCTGGCTATATGACGGCGGCATGTATATAATCGAGTCTCACAATCCAGTGATTGATATTGTAAACAACGATTCATGCTATCGGGGTACGATGACCCGCAATCAGGCAACTCAACGATCCTGACAATACGATCCATTAAATCGTTTCTGACGACCAGCAGAGGTTGGGGACCAATTCTAGTTCCACTGGGTAATACTTTGAACTCGCAATGATTGATAAATCTCATGGTTTTGTGTCTCGAGGTGAACTCGTCCGTTCTTCTGAAAACCTTCGAAGACCGTTATATTGACACATTCATAGTGTGTGCCATGTGCCGAATATGTTCAGCATCTGGACACTCGAAATTGGTGAGTGGAATTTGGCGCATTATAAAAATAAAAAAGCAGCTGCTGTGCTTTAACACGTCTTCAAAAAACTTATGGTGTGTCATGGATGAGGGGTTATAAGTATTGTGTACATCTGCCTTGGTGAGGGGTTATTTGTGTGTGTCTATCTCCATGGGTGAGGGGTTATGTGTGTGTGTCTATCTCCATGGGTGAGGGGTTATTTGTGTGTGTAGGTCTCCATAGGTGAGGGGTTATTTGTGTGTGTCTATCTCCATAGGTGAGGGGTTATTTGTGTGTGTCTATCTCCATGGGTGAGGGGTAATTTGTGTGTGTCTATCTCCATGGGTGAGGGGTTATTTGTGTGTGTCTATCTCCATGGGTGAGGGGTTATTTCATTGACTGGAGGAGGTCCGATAGTTTTTTCAGATATTGAGGTAAACGTCGGTACCTTAAATTACCTTCCAGACTATAACGGGATCTGGTGGTCAGGCTCGTTGACTTGATTGATGCATGTCCCAATTGCGTGGATCGATGCTCATGATATTAATCACTGGATTATCTGGTCCAGACTCGATTATTAACAGACCGTCGTCATATAGCTGGAATATTGCTGAGTGCGGCGTTAAACAAAAACAACAAACAAAATAAACCATGCATGTGGGGTTAATTTGTATGTATCTTGTATGTATGTATCTTGTATGTATGTCAACTTTACATTGTATTTGTCTGACGGCCGTGGCCCTCTGGCATCCTGCCAACAAGTCGGTGACGTCATGGCCGTAGCGTGTAGTGTGTGGTGCTATGCGTGTTAATCAATCGTCGCCACAATCCTTCTGCTTATCGAGTTACTGAAGGGCTTGGCCGTGAGCACACCGGCTGATCGAATCAGTGTCTCGCGATGATCACTTGGTTTGCAGTGTAGAAGAATGTGACTTACAACATACTTGAAAACCAGAGTGAGTACGTGAGTGACAATTTGACTGACTCATTCACTGAGTGAGTTCACATAGAGAGATGGTGGATGAGGTGAGGTGGTGAGGTGGTGAGGTGAAATGGGGTTTAACGTCGCGTCCAAGATTATTGCACTTACATAGCGACGAGCATGCACGTGTGTGTGTGTGTGTGTGTGTGTGTGTGTGTGTGTGGCTGCTTGTACTAGTCCGGACTGATGTCGATTTATAGTGCTAGCTCACTGAGATACCATGCCGCAGTTTAACATGAATACCCCACTCAGATACAGTATACTGACTCCGAGCCGACCAGTCCTTGTTTTAGCCCCTTAATGCCGAGCGCCGGACAGGGTAACAACAAGTACCACCTTTCACGTCTTTTGGTATGACGCGGCCGGGGATCGAACCCCGGACCTTCCGCTCTCCGGGCGGATGGTGGATGAGGACACATTGACAAATTTTGCATAAAGTTTGAATTTTACAATATCGATAAGCATATATGCACAGATAACGTAAGAGTGAGTGGGTGAGTGAGTTGGGTTTAACGCCGCTTTTAACAGTATTCCAGTTATATCATGGCGTGTCAGTTAATGTGGGAGGAAAGCCCGAAGTGATGCAGGTCTCAGACGTTTACCACTTTGGTGAAACCCACGAGCACGGGTATGGTGCTGACAAACCTAGAAACATAATCGGGGCGAACCGGGATTCGAACCCACAATCATAGGTTTCTGGCGTGCCCAAGGGACGCAACTCTGCACAGCGAATCGCGGCGCCTTAGACGACTTTGCCACCCGTGACCCTTAGATGGTTGATGAGGACACACTGACAAATTTTGCATTAAGTTTAAATTTTACAATATCGATAAGCATACATGCACAGATAACGAAAGCATGGATTGGGTTAGAGCAAGTTCATCTTCCAAAGACCTATATCGTATTCGACGTAATAAGCGCCCAAGCGATATTTGCTTATAAATTGGCTAGTGAACAATCCCAATTAGCACCCCATCCGATTGATCAATGTACACAAGACTTATTTTTTCGTGTATAATACGCACTCGTGTGTTATATGCACCCTTAAATTATGGGCAATTAAATTATGGGCTGTCAGCATAAACCACGAAATGTATCTTTCAACTCTTTTTTTTTCTCACCAAAATAATATCCTAATAAGAGACCCCTATTTCTAATTTTGAGAGCGCCCTGGGTGCTTATTACGTCAAATACTGTAATAACGAGCTCGACCCAAACAGACTGACATTAATTAAATTTTTGACCGGTAGGATAATAACTAGCGCACATGAATCCAATCTGGGAAATTTCAAGTTATTAGTAATATTACAGCAATATGGAGATCTGAAATAATTAACAAACCGTTACAAGCATGAGAACTCTGAATGCCACGTTTGTGTTCTGCGGGTTTAAGAAAAGATCAACGCATTAACGTCAGTCAAAGTGCACTTCCAGGAATCGTATGTTATCTTAAGTGTCAGTTTACAATCTCATCAATCAGAGATTCCAATTCCAAATGTTAATATAATAATAATAATAAAAATGGATAATAACGTCAGTTCGTTGTCAGTTACTGGAGGGTAGAGTTAATATTTAAATATGCGTCTGTAGGTCGAAGCTCACTGCTGAGCATAACACAGTTCCGTTGTATTTAGTTAAATTCAGTTCAATTTATATGCGACAGGGGCGGTAGGTTAGCCTTGCGGTTAAAGTGTTAAAGTGTTTTCGTCAGAGCGAAAACCCGAGTTCGATTCTCCCCCTGATCACAATTTGCAATCCCCATTCACTCAGCTGACAAATGCAAAAGAATGAATAAATAAATGTTGCTTTACGACGCATCAGCAATATTAGTCTTTCGCGGCGAAGAACAAAAGAAAAGCGGAATAAATAACGTGGAAATATGGTGGAAATATAGTGGAAATATTGTGGAATTATGGTGAAAATATATTGCAAAAATAGTGGAAATATGGTGAAAACAGTGGAAATATGGTTGAAATATAGTGGAAATATCGTGAAAACATAGTGGAAATATGGTGGAAATAAGGTGGAAAAATGGCGGAAATAAGGCGGAAATATGGTGGAAATAAGCTGGAAATATGGTGAAAATATCGTGGAAATATGGTGGAAATATAGTCTATCAGCCCGGCAATATTTCGATACCAAACAGGGGGCAAAATTGTGACAGGTTTAAAGGTAATGCTATCTAAATGTACAATAAATATGATAACATTTGAAATCGAGTAGGTTTGCATGTTTTTTCTAAGTTCTTTTGAAGGTCTCCAAAGTTGGCACAGGAGAATGGCCAGTACAATATGTTGTCCGGTGAGTAGCATATAATTAACTTCTTTGTTTACTTCCTGTCTTGGTAATTGTACCATAGCAACAGTAATTGCAGAAATTGCTTGTCGTAAGAGGCAACTAACGGGATCGCTGACTTGGTTGATGCATGTCATCGATCCCAACTGCGTGGATGGATGCTCATGATATTAATCACTGGATTGTGTGGTCACACACGCTTATTTAAAGACCGCCGTCATAGAGCTGGAATATTGCTGAGTGCAAAAACAACAAACCAACTACAACAACAACACGTTATTTGTAGCGTTCCCCGCGAGAATATTGCGGCGTCATATGTTACTCACTCACCGACATAGAACATCCGTCCATAGTTTGAGGGGCGGTCGGGTAGCCTAGTGGTTAAAGCGTTCGCTCGTCACGCCGAAGACCCTGGTTCGATTCCCGACATGGGAACAATGTGTGAAGCCCATTTCTGGTGTCCCCCGCCGTGATATGGCTGGAATATTGCTAAAAGCGGCGTAAAACCATACTCACTCACTCACTCACTCCATAGTTTGACTATGTACAGCAATGTTCTTCATCAACATGTCACACTTACCCCCGCCCGTCCTCCCCCGAGGCAGTCAAGGACACCGTCGCCATTCAGGTCAGCGTTACAGTTGACGCCGTATATCTCGTGCGGAGCGTAGTGCCGCCATAGCTCCTTCCCCGTCCTTCCGTCAAGGGCGAGTAATCCGCCGAAACAAGGCTTCGTACCGTTAAAATAAATATCACACACGATGTCGGGAATCCCATAGCCGTCAGCCCCTGTTTAGAAGAATAGAGCAAAAGAATGAATAAATAAATGCATCAGCAATATTACAGTCTTTCGCGGCGAAGAACAAAAGAAAAGCGGAATAAATAACGTGGAAATATAGTGGAAATATTGTGGAATTATGGTGAAAATATATTGCAAAAAAGTGGAAATATTGTGAAAACATAGTGGAAATATGATTGAAAAATAGTGGAAATATCGTGAAAACATAGTGGAAATATGGTGGAAATAAGGTGGAAAAATGGCGGAAATAAGGTGGAAATATGGTTGAAATAAGGTGGAAATATGGTGAAAATATCGTGGAAATATGGTGGAAATATATTGGAAATATGGTGGAAATATAGTGGGAGTAAGGTGAAAATATGCATGATTTGAAACGTTTTGTTTGTCAGATAAGTTCATGAAGCAAGTTTTGACCAAACAATCCACTGACTCGCGTCATGAGCATCGACCTACGCAGTTGGGGTACGATGACATTAGACACCGACCATTGATTGGTAATGTGTGTGAGTGGTGTTTGGAAATGTGATGGGTAGGGGGTGGAAGAGATTTTATGGAATCGAAAAAGTCCCCAAATCCTTGAACAACATAATTCAGCTTCAAAATGTCCAAAAAACAACAACACAAGATATACATGTTGGCGAGATGCTATATTATGAAGTATCTATTTAGGCTCATAGGTTTAAATAAAAAAAATATCTGTTTTTGCACCTGTAGCTAAAAAATATCCAAACAAAATCCAGCCCCAACCAAACCAGGGTGTATACTTTCTTTTACCCGTCAGTTTACATGTGTGAAATGTCAGACGTGTCGGGTTTTCCCTCTCATTTTCACAATCTTTAAATATTTGACACGTGCATTTGCTAAATCTTTGCGTGGCCATTCTGTACTAATGTTTCCCTGAAAGAGCCACAGAATATGAGGGGGCACGTGTGGCCCAGTCGTCTAAGGCGCCGCGATTCCCTGTGCAGAGTTGCGTCCCTTTGGCACGCCAGAAACCTATGATTGTGGGTTCGAATCCCGGTTCGCCCCGATTATGTTTCTAGGTATGTCAGCACCATACCCGTGCTCGTGGGTTTCACCGAACGGTAAACGTCTGAGACCTGCATCACTTCGGGCTTTCCTCCCACATTAATCTGACACGCCGTGATATAACTGGAATACTGTTAAAAGCGGCGTTAAATTCAACTCACTCAATCACTCACTCAATCACCCACTAACAGAATATGAAGAGCAGCTTTATGTCATACACTCATCGATTAGAACACATGTTATACATTCTGAGCGCACAGAGACCAATGCGGTAAAGACGTAAATGTTGTTACAATGGTAACACGAGAAGACGCGCGTGTCGTAACAATGTCCACGTCCACACCGAGGGAACGCTGTCAACGTCCTCCTCGGCTGTATTGGTGAACACTGTCAGTTAGTAAACAGTGAGTCAACGTTGGGAATAATGTGCTATAAAAATAAAGGGCCGTGTGGTGACTGTTCTAAGTTCGCCAGGAATAGACGCTGTGTTCACATTATCTTCCACTACAAACTAGGACGTTACACACAGAGGACGTTACACACAGAGGACGTTACACACAGAGGACGTTACACACAGAGGACGTTACAGGGTGAGAAAACAGTTGCGAGTATATATACTACTCAAAAGAAGTTAAGGATCACCCGATTCTTTCATATTGGTAATGTTAATCTGTCATGGCATGAGAGATTAACTATTGTTATATTAAAGAATGAGGTGATCCTTCACTTCTTTTGAGTAGTATATTAACAAATGAACGTCTAAATCAATGTTTCACTCTCGCTTTCAAGCTTGAAACAAACATAAAAGTTCAGCTAGCATACGCCTTCCTGTAGCTTTAATATTGCGGCGTTTAACAAGAAGCAGACAAACAAAATCTAGCATATACTGAAATTGAATATCAGGTAACATCAGGACAACTATTTAGGGGTCACTCAATTTTGGGGATCACTGTAAAGAGAGATCAAGAATTGTCCTCAACAAAACCTGACACCGTTTGCATAAAGAGAGAATACGTTATGTTGAGACATGGTAGTTAGGTTTGTCTTAGCACTAAGGTCTATTAGTCGCAACTCTGGCTCAAGTATATTCGGTTGCGATAGGATGTGCTTAGTGCTTGGATTTGTGGCTAAACACACACACACACACACACACACACACACACACACACACACACACACACACACTCTCTCTCTCTCTCTCTCTCTCTCTCTCTCACACACACACACACAATCACACATACACACTCCGTCCTATTAAAAAGTCGGTCACTTATGCCCATTTTCAATTATGTCACAGCAGCCAGTTCTACAGGGAATCGGACTGCAGACGGACACGGCACGGGTTGTGGGGCCCACAATCTTGGATTCGAACATGGTACCAGCGAACCATGGACTAATAAACTTATAGGTGGCGCCAAAAACCACGGGTCGTCGGTGCTCTCCACAGTATGAAATAAAATCACAACGACACTGGGGAACTCGATACATCATCCAGACGTGGGTAGGCAATATCAGTCAAATCCAATGTTTGTTTTTAATCGATTTGAAAACCAATTCCGAGTATAAAACAGACAACATTTGTCTTTCTTTCATGAGTTGTCTCGTCTAACGTGATAGTGTAACTCGGCGGGGATCACTCATCTCTCATCTAACATCGGCCTACATCAACGGCGCCTACGGTGGAGATGGAGTTGACATTTGTGATGCTGGAATTTCCCAGGAGCAATAGACAATAAGTGCTTCCTCAATCGTTCGTGTCATTGAAGTACATGACTTTTATTTCGTTTCCGCGGGCGATGATACAAAAAAACGGATTACAGAATTACAAATGTCAAGCTACATTAGCGTATCACTTAGATTTGCTTTAAAAAGTTAATCAAAAGGGTAGTCTTTTTTGAAGATTCACGAGAACCATCTATTCCCATTGTCAGAAACGCGGAAAAACATTTTTTCTCTTCCGACCATTTCTGTGAGACAATGGAACGCAAAACATAATTTTAGAATTCAAATATAATAAACAAAATGTCTGACATATGTTATCGATTATTAATTTCTTTCATGACAATTGCCAGATCAAAATACTCGTGCCGAATACTGGCGTATGGTCGAATATCAGTATAAGTTATACATATGGTTTTATATAAAGTAGTCATGCGAATATGATTTCATCCACCATAATGCTCAGTTATTGTTGACGTCACAGTAGTGTTGACGTGATATGTTATGAAATCATAAATCAGCTTCGCCTAACGGTTCTTACGTAATGAACATGCATCGTTCTCTCTTTAGACAGGCGTAGATAATGGGCGCGAGGGTAAAGAACCGTGTGCTTCAGGATTAAGGGTCGGGTTCGATTCCACATTACTCTCTCTCTCTGTCTCTCTCTCTCTCTGTCTCTCTCTCCTTCTCCCGCGCTCTCTTTCTCCCTCTCTCGTTTCATCTCATTATCTCTCTCTTCTCTCTTTCCCTCGCTTCATATCTCTCCCTCTCTCTCTCTCGTGTCAGGATCAATTTGTACCTATATCTCTATACCTATACCCTCTCTCTCTTTCTGTCTTTCTTCATCTCATTCTCTCTCTTACTGTTTCCCTCGCTTCAACTCTTCTCTTTCTCACTCCCTCTATTTCTTTCTCTCTCTCTCTCTCTCTCTCTCTCTCTCTCTCTCTCTCTCACTCTATCTTCCCTCTCTCTCTCTCGCTTCATTTCATTCTCTCTCTCTACCTAGTTTCATCTAATTATCTCTCTCTTCTCTCTTTCCCTCGCTTCATATCTTCTCTTTCTCACTCTCACTCTATCTCTCTCACTCTCTCGCTCTCTCTCTCTCTCTGTCTCTCTCTCTCTCTCCCTCTCTCTCTCGCTTCATCTCATGATCTCGCTCTCTCGCTTTCTATCTTGTGTCAGTATCATTGTATACCTATATCGTCCTCAATCGGGAAATCCCGACACTTATTAAATCATTATGATACACACAAGAACCTACAAGCATCCTTTACCTGTCGCAAATCCCATTATGACATCAAGTATTCCATCCTGATTGACCTCCACCATCCTGAATGCAGTTTCTGTCAACATCTTCGGCATTCCAATAACCCAAACATCCTCCACCTCAATATTATCACAGCCAATCACAGCCATCGTCTCAGCATCCTTTCCACCAATGAGCTTCTGTGTTAGAAAATCATAGCGGTGTTGATACCGGTTCACCAGGAACAATATGAGAATCATCAGTCCGCCAAGGGAGGCAACTAGGAACAGGAAGTACAGAATTGGCCGGATGAGAAGTCTACATTTACAATCTGGTCGTCTACTTTTCACCCTTGCTCTTTGTCGGGGGTGCATGAGCGGTTTCGTGGCAGATGACACGTCAAGGATTGGGTCCTCCACGAACACGTCATCATCGTCAGAATACTCCCCATCGTACACTTTGTCACTGCTGTAGTCTTCCTGGTACCCATTGTGTTCCCGGGGCGGCTTCCGGCTGAAGATAACCTTGGTATCCATGTTTCCTATATCCAACGTTATGGACCTTGGGCGCAAATATGATGACTACAGCCGATCAGTGTGACATGCTGTCATGGATTGGCACGCCGTCGTTTTGTGATGTATTGTGTTGTGTTGTGATGTTTTGAGATGTATTTGGATGTATTGAATGTATTTGATGTATTTGGATATATTTGGATGTATTGGATGTATTTGGATGAATTGTGATGTATTTGGATGTATTGGATGTATTGTGATGTTTTTGGATTTATTAGGTGTATTTGGAGGTATTGGGTGTATTTGGATGTGTTGTGATGTATTGTGAGGTATCGTGATGTATTGTGATGTATTGTGGTGTATTGAGATGTATTTGGATGTATTGAATGTATTGGATGTATTGTGATTTATTTGGATGTATTAGGTGTATTTGGAGGTATTGGGTGTATTTGAATGTGTTGTGATGTATTGTGAGGTATCGTGATGTATTGTGATGTATTGTGATGTATTGGATGTATTAGATGTATTGTGATGTATTTGGAAGTATTGTGAGGGATCGTGATGTATTGTTGTTCCTCAGAGCAGAACACGAGGCAGAGTTGGCGGAGACTGCATTAACTGATTTATAACGACACACTCAGTCCGCTGTTGGTTGTATCGCCTCACAGAGATGTCATATCATGCTGAGTGCTCAATCGGTACAATGAATGTAGGGACAGAAGCTCCTTGAGATGCTGATGAACCTGTTTCTTGTGTGATGGATTACATGTCCTCTCCTGCAGGAAAACAAAATAAATATGTTCATAAACAGAGGAAAAACAATAATTGTATGAGAACATTGGACACAAACACGTTTCTATGTCAACAGTTCCTCCCGGTCTTAAAACAAGAGGGGCGGTCGGGTAGCTTAGTGGTTAAAGCGATCGCTCGTCACGCCGAAGACCCGGGTTCGATTCCGGATAGGGTACATTGTGTGAAGCCCATTTCTGGTGTCATATCAACCCCATTTTGAGATAGTGATGTAAATCCTCCATATAGAACAGATTGGCATGCTTGTATTATCGACAATATAACCACTTAAACATGTACTCTCGCAGGTTCCCACCATCGGTATCATCCCGACCAGCTACATGGCCCCCTGTGTGCAGGACTTCCCGATACAAATGACCCCTGCTGCTTGCAATGTGCACGTGTTGTGAGTGCAGCAATTTACATTATTTACAAGCCATCACTTGCAGGCTGAATATGACAACTACTCCCACTAAGTATAATGTCAATTAAAGTCTATTTTATTATTATTGAAAACTGCATGTACAGTAGTGCATCGGACTTAAATGAGTAATGATATATACAATGCCTCCCACTTTGTCAGCTACATAGTTTAAATATGAATATAAAGTTTTTAATATATGTGTTATGTCAAACAAACATGGCGATAATGTCGGATCATTTGTGAACATTTTATTCACTCAAGTCTGCTAAAACACAATAGAACACAGGTGAGCGAAGATAATACCATATTTAAACATGAAGCGACGGATATGGATTACAACCAGCTCATACTTTTATTCTTTATTCTTGAGGACGAGTATTACTTTTTGCTAGTATGCCCGCATTATGATGAACTAAGAAAAGTATATTTACCAAAATATTTTCATGTAAACCATTGTACATTTAAGTTTAAACTATTACTGACCACTTGCAACATTGAAACCATAAGAATTATTTCTATGTACATATATCATGCTTTTATACAAAGAAAATCAAGTTTGGAAATTATATGATTGTACCAATTGCTCCTGTAATCATAATTGTACTATAGGCCTGTGGCCTCCTCAATACATTGAATAAAGAAATTGAAATTGAAATTTTTATTCTTTTAAATGGTGCCTTCTGCTCTTCATTGTAGTTATCATTTGAGTGTTAGTGACTGCTTGATAATAATAATAAATAAAAATTAATAATAATAATCATCATCATCATCATCATCAGAGTTTGCATTTCTGCTATTTTATCTATAGATTATGATGATGATGATGATAACAACAACAATCATCATTATCATCATCATCTATAGATAAAAATAGCAGAAATGCAAACTCTGAGATTTGTCCAGATCTGTCTTCATGTGTTACACAATATATATGATTGATAGGTTTCATAGACAGAAGAGTCAATATATCTGACATACACACATCGAACATTCTACGCAGATGTGAGATGTGACGTTCTAGCTGGGTCAAAGCGATAACATCCACTTATACAATCAAACCATAATATCAACGTAACATTCCGTTACATTCAGTGTTGTAGTGCGGGCCGCCGGGGGCACGTTACACGGACACGGTGTCGTCATTTGTCAGTGATTCAAGATCACAAACTTGTGATACAGGTGAAATGGTTAAACGCATTCGCCAACACTCGCCCCTTTCCGTAACCTGCAAGACGGCTTGTCCCGGAATAACACGAGCTGGACACGAATGAGTTAGGCGGACTGCTCATAGTCACAACGACATCCACCATTCCCCAAATTATGATTATGGAAGGGGATTTGTTGCTTTTTTATAATGTCGATTATCGCAAAACAAGCAGCTCTCAAGCTCGTTTTTCGCTCCACAAACCCCGGTGCCATTGCTGGTGATAGGATACCCATATCGTTATATACTATCTGTATAGTCGTGTCGAGTTGATTACTGTCAATACGTCATGCCATTATCAACCTCATCAGCCATTCTTACTGAAGCCGACGTGGAGTGTTTATTTGATGGTCGATAACGCAATGTTCTTAAACCTTTGTTCATGTCAAAATCACTTCAACAAGGTCGAGTTCTTGGAACTATCAATGCTGGGCGTGCTATAGACTACATTGCACCAGGGATTTTGTTTGTCTTTCTGCCCGTCTGTCATTGTCTCTCTGTCGCTCTGTGCATTCTCTTACTTATTGTCTCTCCATCTTCCCGTAGCAAGGGAGTTAACTGACTGAAAAGTCCAGTTTCCACCCTAGCCGAACTTTGATTGCAGGATTTGCAGAGCATGTGTGCCGCCAACTCGGCGTCAACAGATATTTTCCAAATCTTCTCCTGTTTTTAATCAAGGTGATGACAAGAAATACCCGCTTTATCACAATATAGATTATGATTATGGATCAGATCGTCTTGACTGGGCCCCGCCAATTGGTCAAAATAGGAGGGACATAGAAGGGACATAACTCGTAATAGCCACTGGTGTAGCTACGATCAGGGTCAGACATCCCAGCCTAGGGTGGCAAGGGTGAAAACTAGACTGTTACTGTCAGTTAAATCCCTTGCCTAGGGAAGATGTCTCTCGCTCTCAATCTGTTGTCCTCTATTTAATATTTTGCTCGCTCTCTCTCTCTCTCTCTCTCTCTCTCTCTCTCACTGTCTCTCTCTCTCTATCTCTCTCTCACTGTCTCTCTCTCTCACTGTCTCTCTCTCTCTCTCTCTCTCTCTCTCTCTCTCTCTCTCTCACTGTCTCTCTATCTCCCAAATATTTTAATCTAAACACAAAGGCTCGCTCTACAACATTTATTAATCATTTTATCATCGCTCCTGGTGTCAAATGGGATGGTTTACTTAATACCTAGTTCGTCCTCTGGAAATAAGTATGTCTGTCTGATCAACACACGTTTCATGTCATACACACTCTTTCAGACACATGTCCTGATCATGAAGTAGTTTTAACAGCATGTATTCCCCCAGAGAGGGCAATGTCGTCCAGTTGTCATTGTAATTCGATCAATTGTGTTGACTTCTAACTATACAAACAGACTGTATTGATTTTAGGAGCCCCTGGAAGCTCTTTATTTTGTAGAATGCTTTTACTGCGGAGTTACGAATGCTGCGTCTTATCACTTCCGGTTCATTTCTTGTCGTCGGACGATAAAAGTGTTACTATCAATAAAAACCGGCCTTTACAGACACACTCAGATTCCTACCGGGGTACTGTGTCAATAATAGTTCCCCAAACGGTTTCTAAAACCTGATCGATCTATGTGATACGTTTTCATGCTGTTGTAAAGTATAACAGTGAAGGACTATTTGGCCTTTTACAATGGCTCTATATACTGACTGGAATTATTGAGGGGACGGTTCAATGTGTTCAAGTCTCCTGTGTACCCGACGATGACTCGGATGGTTGGGCAGTTTGGAATAGTTTGGAGTAGAGTGGAATGTTTGGAATAGTTTTGCAATATTTGGAATAGTTTAGAAATGTTTGGGATGGTTTGGAAATGTTTGGGATGGTTTGGAAATGTTTGGGATGGTTTGGCGTGTTTGGAATAGTTTGGCAATGTTTGAGATGGTTTGGCGTTTTTGGAATAGTTTGGCAATGTTTGTAATAGGTTGGAATGTTTGGAATAGTTTGGCAATGTTTGGAAAAGTTTGGAAATGTTTGAGATGGTTTGGCGTGTTGAGAAATAGTTTGGCAAGTTTTGGAATAGTTTGGCAATGTTTGGAATAGTGTGGCAATGTTTGGGATGGTTTAGCAATGTTTGGAATAGTTAAGTACTGTTTGGAATAGTTTAGCAATGTTTGGAATGGCTTGGCGTGTTTGGAATAGTTTGGCAATGTTTGGAATAGTTTAGCAATGCTTGAAAAAGTTTGGAAATGTTTGAGATGGTTTGGCATGTTTGGAATAGCTTGGCAATGTTTGGAATGGTTTGGCGTGTTTGGAATAGTTTGGCAATGTTTGAAATAGTTTGGAAATGTTTGGGATGGTTTGGCAATGTTTGGGATGGTTTGGTGTGTTTGGAATAGCTTAGCAATGTTTGGAATAGTTTGGCTATGTTTGGAATAGTTTCGGATGGTTTGGCGTGTTTAGGAATAGTTTGGAAATGTTTGGAATAACATAACATGCCACCATGAAGGCTCGTGTTTAGTCAAATTTCTTATCAATATTTCTGTGTTCCGTTATTTCCCAAATGGGTACAAGAAATGCCATTAGGCCTGTAAACAACAGATCCGTCAGTAACTGGACTTATACATGAAAACAAATCTCGTTCCCGAGCCCCTGAACGAGAATACGTGCACTTCCGGTATGTGAGGGAGTTGCCTGTACTTCCGCGTGTGTCAATTGAATGTGGGAAGTGGACATGTCTGACCCTCATGTTGATGATTCACACAAGCACGGATAAGATGTTTAGGCTCCAAGGGTCACGATGAGGACAATTATGGGATTCGAACTCACTGCAACGGTGGTGAGTAGTTCACCTCAGACCACACAGACACACGTCGGTCTCGGAGAGGAGGTGGATGGGTGACCACGTTCAGCAGCTTGACTCCTGAGAGTTTCTAGGGCTTCGGTCCTGCCCCACACTGAAGCACGTGTACCACATGTGGTGTCGCCTTAGGCAAGTGACTTTGTTCGAAATGTGCCTCTGTTCACCCAGCAGTGAGTGGGTACCCGGTAGGATGAGATGGTAATGTGGCTGTTAACCTTCTAGCGCCTCACAGGCAGCTTCGGTTGTATACTCCCCAGGGAGCTGAGAATGAAAATCGAGTGCTCACTGATCCATTGACTGTGGTAATAATAGTGTAGCGCTATGAGCATCCACTTGGGGAATGGAATTATAAATGCACTTCTTCTTCTTCTTCTTCTTCTTATTATTATTATTATCATTATTATCATTATCATTATTATTATTATTATTATTATTATTATTACATGCTCCTGTCTACTTTCGTTGGATTAAAACCATCTTCCCGAGGCAAGGGCATTAACTGACTATAGACGTTCCCCCTGGACTTTTATAGTCAGCTAACGCCTTGCCTCGGGAAGACGGATTAAAACAGATCGAGTTGGGGAACTGAGAATGTTAGCAGTTAGTACCAAACAGACACTTGAACACTAAGTTAGCTGAAGCCGAACATTTTAATTAAAAACAAATTTCAACCCAAAATTTCACTACACATACAACACAATCTACTTTTTACTGCCAGTGACATTTCTGAGAAATGTTATTTTATCTCACATGCAACCTTGAAGTGAGACTCACTGTCAGTTTATGTCTAGACTTTGTTATTGGTGTTTTGTGTGCGACATTGTCAGTTATTGCAAGATCTCCATAATAAAACAACGGCAGACAGCAGACAGGCGTGTGATGTTTGAACATGAATAGTACTGGCAAGGACGGCGGCGACTGTGTAATTTGAGTGATATAGCCAACAAATATAGATAGCGTCGTTCTCTCGCACTCCCTCTCTTCCTTTCCTTATTCTCTCTCTCTCACACACAATCTGCGTGCGTCTCCCTGTCTCGTCTCGGTCGCCGTTCTGTTTCCTCTCCTCTATCTACGCTTCAGTCCCTGCCTCAACTGGTACAACTTTACAGGCCCTATCCAAATACAATTTACAATAAAATGACGCCTGTCTGTTTCCCTCACTCATCCCTTCCATCTCTCCCACCTTCCCTCATTCCTTCCCTCTCTCCCTCATTCCTTCCCTTTCTCCCTCATTCTTTCCCTCTCTCCCTCCCTCTTTCCCTCATTCTTTCCCTCTCTCCCTCCCTCTCTCCCTCATTCTTTCCCTCTCTCCCTCATTCCTTCCCTTTCTCCCTCATTCTTTCCCTCTCTCCCTCCCTCTTTCCCTCATTCTTTCCCTCTCTCCCTCCCTCTCTCACTCATTCCTTCCCTCTCTCCCTCATTCTTTCCCTCTCTCACCCATTCCTTCCCTATCTCACTCCTTCCTTCCTTCTCTCCTCATTCCTCCCTATCTCACTCATTCCTTCCCTATCTCACTCATTCATTCCCTCTCTCACCCAACTACTCCATTTTCGAAAGCCAGCAGACCTCCCTCCAGACCCTGATCCAGAATCTGAACCTGTGCAAGAATCCCGTACTAAACCAACAACAAATGTTCGTTCAACTAAAAAAGAAAGAAAACAACCAAAAAGAAAAGAAGCAAAGGGCCTTAAGCATATCGAGGTGCCTGCTTCAATGATAGATCCCTTAGAGGTTCATAACCCCTTTGAACCTCTAGACATGGAGGTCACTCCATCGCTGTCATTACAGCATAGAGGACCTTCACCCCGCTCACGATCACCAATTGGACCTCCATGAGTTGCTCCTCCTCCTTAAGACAATGGAATTCTAGAGGACTTCGAACAATTTTAATGATCTTCAGCTATTAATTCAGGATTTCAAACCATCTGCGTTTTGTCTTCAAGAAACCTTCCTCAAAACCACAGATAATTATGATTTACGACAGTACGATTCTTACCATTGCTTTTCCCCTCCAGGTGATAAAGCAACTGGAGGGTCATCTGTTATAGTGAGGCAGGGCGTCATTCACAGTCCTGTTCCTCTCAATACCCCTCTTCAGGCTGTTGCAGTACGTTTAACGTTAATTCTACCATGAATTTGGAATTTACTCGATTCTGATTGGTCAATCAGAGGCTATTAAATCACAATAAACCCCCTCTGATTGAAACAGCTGGTTTGACGGCCGCATCACCGCGGAAGCTAATATTCATAGAATAGTACTATTTTCAGTCATTGTCGGTAGGCATATTTAAATAACTATATCTACAATTACAGGTTACAAAATGCACATATGCGGTTACTACAATATTCAAAGGATGTGTAACAATACATTTCGTGCAGAAAAACACGACATAAATCAACAAAGGGAATGTATTTACGTTTTGGAGACAACAGAGGGCTTGAAATTTTGGCGCTTTTCTATTCGACTGTGACGTCATATATTTTGCGTCACAATGAGCGATATGACGTCATAATGGTGACGTGAGATGTAGAGCGAAAGACTTGCAAAGCTTGCTTTGTTTTCTTAGGGATGGCCACCTCATGTTAGCTTACCATGTTGCCGTGCTTATATGCTTTTAATGCCTGTCATATGTTCGAGTGAAGTATTATGGAGTAAACAAACTGCTTGAGTATATACAGCACCATATTTTGTTCGTTGATTCCGTAATTCAGATCGATAACCCACTCAAAACACTGAACTCAACCCATGCCGCTTCACTCAGTATATTTGCTAACACCAAAGAGTTCGCGTTTTATTTAGTCATGGTAGAATGGAGATAAACATACTGTGTTTTCAATGTAGAGCTAGGTTACCTGTAGATTTAACCGCGCTAAATTTAACATTTGAAACCTCACGCTGCGCGTTCGGTTCCAAATTCAATTTAGCGGGGTTAAATCCACAGGTAACCTACCTCTACATTGAAAACACAGTATGTTTATCTCCTAAATATTGTTTTTACTTTGTGTTCGTTGTATATACCACCATCGCACCCTCTCAGACAGCCTGATCTACAGGCACTATATGACCAACTCCCTAAGCCCTGTGTTATCATGGGAGATTTGAATGTCCATAACCCGCTTTGGGGTAGTAATGACAGCAACACCAAAGGGAAATTACTTGAAGATTTTTTCTTAAATAACGATCTGTGCATTTTTAATGATGGTTCTCATACATATCTACATCCCGCAACTGGAACATACTCTTGTCTGGACTTGTCAGTTGTAGGTTCTAATTTACTTAATGAATTTGAATGGTCGGTCCACGATGACCTCTGTGGAAGTGACCATTTTCCTACCATTTTAGAATCTGTTACACCTTCTGATGTTCCACCATCTTCACGTTGGAATTTTACTAGAGCCAACTGGGCATTATATGAAGTCCTTTGTTCTAACAAACTAAAACCTGATGTTTTTATTGATGTTCCCGATTCTATACAACTGTTCTCTGATGAACTTACTAAAATAGCTGATGAATGTATTCTGAAGTCCTCTTCAAATCCTCACATACGTAAACCATGTTTCAACAATGATTGCAAACAAGCTAGAAAGGCACAGAAAAAAGCTGAACGATATTTCCGACGCCATCCAATAGTCCATAGTCTCAATAAATTTAAAATTGTAAATGTTAAAACCCGGCGCACTTTCAAACAAAACAAACGTCAATCTTGGCATAATTATGTATCCAAGATAAATTCACGGACGCCAATGTCCAAGGTATGGAGCATGATTCAGAAAATAAAAGGTAAGCGTACTAAATCAAGCATCCACCATCTCAAATATGGGGATCAATTATTAACTGATACATCAGAAATTGCAAATAAACTTGGTGAAACTCTGATTCACCATTCTTCCTCGTCTAATTATGTCCCTCAATTTCAAAAATACAAAAAGCTGCAGGAAAAGACACCTTTACATTTTAATTCAGATAACGGGGAAGATTACAATGAAGTCTTTTCCATTCATGAGCTCAATACTGCGCTTGGACAGGCTCATGACACTGCTGCAGGGTCTGATAATATACATTATCAACTTTTAAAACATGTACCGCAAGTGTTTAGAAACCCTTTTGATAATATTTGATAAAATCTGGACGTCAGGAGAATTTCCTTCTTCATGGCGTGAAGCTATCATTGTTCCCATACGTAAACCTGGACGTGATCATACTGATCCTTCCAATTATCGACCCATTTCATTGACAAGCTGCGTTTGCAAAACCATGGAACGCATGGTCAATAATAGATTAACTTGATACTTAGAATCCAATAACTTAATCACAAATATTCAATGTGGATTTCATAAAAATCGCAGTACCATTGACGATTTAGTTCAATTGGAGTCATTCGTTAAGAATGCCATTATAAACAAACAACATGCAGTGTCAATCTTTTTCGTTCTAGATAAAGCATATGACACTAAATGGAAGTACGGTATTTTAAAAGATTTGCATGATTTTGGATTGCGAGGCCGTTTGCCTCAATTTATATCCAAGTTTTTAACTGACAGGCAATTTCAAGTTCGCGTGGGTTCCACCCTGTTCTGATCATTATAATCAGGATCATGGTGTCCCACAAGGCAGTATTTTGTCTATCACTTTGTTTAGCATAAAAATCAACAGTTTAGCAAAGGTTTTAAACGATTCATTGATGGATCGTTGTTTGTGGATGACTTTAATGTTTCTTGCCGTGGTAAGAACATGCATACGATTGAGAGGCAAATGCAACTGTGTTTAAATAAAATCCAAAAATGGTGTCTAGAAAATGGCTTTAAATTATCCAAAACTAATATTAGATAACACCCCCATTAAAGTTGTAAAAGAAGCGAAATTTTTGGGTATAATTTTCTATCATCATTTAACCTTTTTACCACATATAAAATACTTAAAGAATAAATGTCTGAAAGCCCTAGATTTATTAAAAGTTGTCTCTAATTCCAAGTGGGGAGGGGATCAGAAAACCCTCCTCCAACTATACAGAGATCTTATACGCTCGAAACTTGATTACGGCTCCATCATCTATGGTGGGGCTTTTAAGAACAATTTAAAATTATTAGACACCATTCATCACCAAGGCCTGAGGCTTTGTCTTGGAGCCTTCCGAACCTCACCTATTCACAGTTTGTATGTGGAGGCTGATGAGCCATCCCTTAAACACCGATGCATTAAATTATCTTTACACTATATCTGTAAATTACGTTCTACTAAATCAAATCCAGCATATGACTGTGTTTTTACAGAGTACAAAAATATCTACAATAAAAAGACATCTTTTATTCCACCACTTGGAATAAGAATACAATCTGATGTTTCTGCTGCCCAAATCAATCTTGAAACCCTAGCCCCCATTCGGCTGTTCACTTTTCCACCATGGCAGTTAGTGAAGCCCGAGGTGGACCTAACATTAAGTAAACTAAAGAAATCCGACACAAATCAATTAATTTATCAACAGCAATATAATGAATTACGAGGCACCTGTGATACTCATAAATATATATTTACAGATGGATCCAAGTATGGTGACGCTGTTGCCAGCGCCACCGTCATTGGATCCAGAACTATCTCAAACAGATTACCAGATATATGTTCTATTTTCACTGCGGAGGCAAATGCTATATTAACGGCTCTAAAACACATCCACAGCCAAACTAAACATAAACAGTTCATTTATTGTTCAGACTCTCTTTCTTGCATTCAAGCTATTAAAACATACATGTCTTCCACGCATCCACTTTTAAAGTTAAATTGTTTTATGATCTTGCTACTGGCCAATAGAACATCGTTTTTTGTTGGTTACCAAGCCATGTTGGAATCACTGGTAACACAATGGCCGATGCTGCTGCAAAAGCAGCACTCAACAAATCTGTGACACCACTTTTGCTCCCATACACTGATTACAAGCCAGTGATTAGATCCTATATCCGTGACCTGATGCAAAAGAAGTGGGACACCCAAGTAGGTATCAATAAATTACATGAAATTAAACCAACTATTGGTTACACCTACTTGGGATGTCAGTCCAGATTTGAAGAGGTCATTATACAACGGTGCCGTGTTAGGTACAGCAGATATACTCATGAATATCTCTTGAAAGGTGAGGATCCTCCATTTGGGATCCCTTGTGATGAGGAATCACAATCAAGCATGTCCTGCTTGACTATTGATTTTGCCATCACAAGGGATAAATATTTCAGATCGTCATCTATCAAGGATCTTTTTAGCAGTATCAATTCTCGTTTAATCATTGGTTTTTTAAAGGAAAAAGAGGTGTTTGCAAAATTTTGATTGTGTCTTGCAAAATATAAATGTTTTATGATTGGTAGATCAAATTAGCAACTGAGATTGTTAGAGACTGTATCCTCAAGGGGGGTTAAAATACTGTAAAATTATTGTCTTCCTGAGAGGGTACGTAGGTTCCACTTCTTTCAAGGTAAATTTAGAACTACCGTGTTTTAACCGTAGAATATGTGTCATTTTAAGATGTTAGGCTAACTCTGCCAATAATCGCCAACACTTAAAGGGATGATGTAAATCCTGCTGGGGTCCATGCAGGTAGCAAAGGTACTGTAAGTCCCCATGGTCCCTAATAGGGTGATCTACCTTCAGGGGCTGGCGATCTATAGCCCGTTTTTTTATGTTATTGTTATGTATAAATGCTACCTTTTTTTTATGACCCCATACTAGTTGTAAAATGTTTTTCTGTGATTAGTGTAGTACTTTTACTACCCTTCGTTGGCAGTTTTTTTGTATTCATAAAATTTAACCCTTGATAGTCACGATATGGCTGAAATATTGCCGTTGTGACTCAAAATTTCAACTCACACACACTCATTCCTTCCCACTCGAACTCACTCCTTCCCTCTCGAACCCTTTCCTTCCCTCTCGATAACATTCCTGCCCTTTCTTCATCTTTCTCTCCCTCCCTTTTGTAATCTTCCTCTATTCTTCCCCTCTCTCCCTCAACCGCTCCCTCTCTCTCCCCATCACTCTTCTCCTTGCTCTTTCTAACCCTCCGTCTCACCCCCATGTCCGCCTGCCTTTACCTCCACTTTACTCTATTTTCTCATATTCTCCCACACATCATAAATGCTGTGAATAATTCATCCTACATGTATATCAATATTCGACATTTTTAACAAGCAAAGCACCTACCTACTTCCCCCTTGCCACATGTCCACGACTGCAGGGTCGTGTCGTGTCACCTGACACAAGACTGGGGGTGGCGTGACTGCTGTGATAAATCAGTCAGTGAAACGCGTATCTTTTTACTGCACGTTAAAACTCCTGTAAATGTATTCCTCGCTCTTGAAACAAATAGCGGGACTACTTAAGGGGTGTTGTAATTTCCAGTTTGGTTTGTCTGTCAGCGAGTGTGTCAGGCTAGGTAAGAGGTTAATAGGTCCCCCATCTTGACTGGATTGATGTGACGCAAACCTCACCGTCTCATTCACAACATGGAGCCAATTGGTTGTGTGGGGGAAAGGAAATAGTGGAGCCGGTTCGTGACAAATTGTGCACTTTTTGATAAAAGCATGAAACTTGGCTCAGTTGTAGGTAATGACATTCCAAAAAAAATCAGATATGGGGGCACCCAAAAAAATTCAATATGGCCGCCACGGAGGAATGAAACTCCAGTATATCTTTTTTCAACATGACCCACAACCTAAATATATTATGAAGAATGTACATTTAGGAATGTATTTACCCATTACTACATCTGTAAAGTAAATAACTGTATTTTAGTGGAACATTTGCTTTGATTTAGGTTACCTAAAGTGTGAAAAAATGAAATAAATATGCTTTTTCGTTTACGGCATATCTTTAAGACATACTTCTTTAAAGCCAACCAAACTATACAAATATTATATCATATGGTAAATAACAGAATATTACAAGAACAAAATTTGTATTTATTGAAATATGCTTACACATGTGAGAAGGTTATATTAATAATAATAGCAAAATATTTCATTTAAAGAAAGTACAGTGTTTCCAGTTAGGCTTTCATTAAAATATAGACACGCAATCCAGTTTCTACTAAGACAATGTGAACATCACCTTCCAGAATTGGTGCAGAAACCCTGATATCCCATTGGTCAAAATTTTGGCTTTCCAGCATGTAGTTAGGACCACTTAACAATACCAATTTTGTTTACTCATATGGTACAGAAAAAGAATTATTACAGAGCAAAATTTGTATTTACTAAAATATGGTGTAAATGGCTACTGGTTTTGGTTGGTTTAGGATAATTTAATGTGATCACAGTTCCCCGACATTTGCAAATCAGTGTACCAATTAAACGTGGCATAACGAAGTCACACCTTGCAGAAATTCTGCAAATTGCAAACGATGTGAACATCATATTCCAGAATTTTCCAAAAGAGTTGGAGATTAATAAAGTATTCCATCAAAAACATATTTCGCATAGCATAGAATGGCACAATACACTCTTTAAAAAATTAAAGGGTTGGAAGCAATTTTGTCCTATTTCAAACCAAAACGGTTGCAACACACAATCAGACTCAAATATGGCCTGTATCAACAGAGAGCTAAGAATCAAATGTCGAGAATAAAGGTGACCATTTTTTGTTAAGTTATTTTTTTTTAAAACAATAAATTTTTCGATTGAATATATGTTTTTAAATAGTTTTAAAAGTATATCTAATTTCGGTTTGGTTTCTCTAATTCCACTTACATGAATATGCCGTTTTCCCAATAAAACTATATGATTGATTAAAGTATTAGAGTAGTTAGAACCAAACCAAATAAGATATTTTGTCAATTTTTTTTTGTGAAAGATAATTATTAAGCCAAAGTTTATGACCATTCCAAAATTGTTTAGTATCATTACATTCCCAAACGACATGGCTGATGTCCTCATTGACAGCATCACAAAAGCTACAAACACTGTTGTCCACAAGATTCATTGTTAATAGTTCCTTCTTTGTGTAGATAATTCCATGTAGAAATCTGTACTGAAAATCTAAAAGTTTTACAGCCTACAGTTTATATCTATAAACAGTAAATGTCGTATTCCAATATAAATCACAGTGAAAAATTGATTGCCATTTATCACAAACTTTAAGATTATTTTCATTTGATATTAATATATCATAACAGTTTCTAGGCTTCATCAGATCACTTAAGCAACTGTTTACATACAAATTCTGTGAAATTAGCTTTCTAGTTTTCTGGATTGTTGTTTTCCATGATTCTGGTGTATTGAAGATTACATATCTATAGTCTAATATTGTACCTTTTATCGGATATTTTAGTGTCAGTTCTTCAAATGACATCAGTCCGTTTTCATTGCATATATCTTTAATTGAGTAAATTCCACTATTAGCCCATTGCTTTATGTAGTATGTTGCTTGTTTGAAGTTGTGATTGAGCCATAATGGTTTCTATATTATCAACATAAATAATATTTTTTTTACAGTAGTTGTTGTAAGCTTTTAATACATCTTTCCTGTAGGTTTTTTTTAACAAAAGATTGCTTGTCAAAATTAGCACCTAAAGAGAGTATATCTTTAATTGGGATATACATTATGTTGTTTTTTCTCAATATAATCTCGGCGAAGAGAGTTTTAGTGCGTCAATAAAGGCTCTAATGTTAACCATGCGTAATCCACCTTCCTCCTATTTTCTTGTCAAAGATTTTGTCTTTTTTATTATTCCAGATAAAATTTTAAAATATTTTGTCAAGTGATAAGACAAAGTCCTCAGGAGGATTAGGTATTGTCGAAAATATAGGAACTAGTTTTGACATTGCTGTAGTTTTTATGACTGTAATTTTTCCTATAAGCGTTAGATTTCTTTTTCTCCAATTTGCAAGCAATCTATGTATTTCTTCTAGCTTTCTTTTTGTATTGATTACCCAGAGTTCACTTAAGTTTGGATTCCAAATAATTCCTAATACTTCAAATTCCTTATTGTGCCATTCTATTTGTAAGTCTTGACATAAACGATCGTTGCTACCCGCTTTTGGGCCTATCCATATTGCTTTTGTCTTGTCTACATTAATTTTTAAGCCAGACATTTTGTAGAATTTATTTAGTGTTTCTATAGCTGCATACACGCTTTCATCTTTGCCATTTAGAAATAATTCAGTATCATCAGCATACTGCCGACGTTTGTATTCTTTGTCACTGATTCCATAATTGGTGCAGAAACCCTGATATCCCATTGGTCAAAATTTTGGCTTTCCAGACATCATTAGGACCACTAAACAAACCAATAGTGTATACTCAATGGTACAAAATGGTATGGTCTTGTTAAAGAGCAAAATTTGTATTTACTAAAATATGGTGTAAATGGCTAATGATTTTGGTTGGTTTAGGAAAATTGAATGTGATCACAGATTATAACGGTGTTCGCGAAAAGGTAAGCGTGCATAAATTGGAATTTTTGTGATGAAAAATGTGTCTTTGCACTTCAGTATTTCTAAACAGAACAGTGGTATAAACAGGTATTTTGTGGTGTACAATAGAAAGACGTTAAAATAGGCACTTGTTGTTTTCCTGCCTGTCACTCGGCACAAAGGGATACAGGACTGGTCGGTTCGGAGTCAATATAATGTGCGTGAGTTGGGCATCCATGTTTAACTGCGGCATGGTATCTAAGTGTGCTAGCATTAGTCATTAGTAATCGGCATTATTCTGGACTAGTACAATCAGACACACACACACACACACACACACACACACACACACACACACACACACACACACACACACACACACACAGACGCACTCTCACACTCACACACACACCACACACACACTTACACTCACACACGCGCACACACTCACGCAGACACAGACGCACTCACACGCGCACACACACACCACACGCGCACACACACAAACACACGCACTCTCACACACTTACACTCACACACACACCACGCACACACTTACACTCACACACCACACACACTCACACACACACCACACTTACACTCACACACTTACACTCACACGCACTCACACGCACATACACACACACTACACGTGCATGAACGTCACAATTTAAATCCAATAATCTTAAGCGCGACGTCAAATCCCATTTCACCTCACCACACCTCACCTCACCTCACCCCACCTCACCCCACCTCACCTCACTTCACCCCACCCCACCTCACCTCACCTCACCACAGACAACACTCCCTTACTGCATCAACAAAACAACAAAACAAACCTCTCTAGACTTCAACACTGAACAATGAATATTCTCTTCTCAACCATCAAGTTAGCCCCTTAGTGTTCTTGTAATAACATAACGGTTAAACATTGATTTCGAATAAACCAAGCAGCAATATCTATTCAGTTGCCTTGCCAACATTTGGCTTTTACAAATGTGTGGTCCCTGAGCGCATGGCTTCCAAGCGAACGGATCGATGGCTCCCCTCTTTCCTCTCACGATTGTTGTTTAGAAATGACAGTTATGATGGTACGTGCTTCCCAATAAAGTATGCGCGAAAAATTATGAGTATACTTTTGAATTCGAACATAGAAGTTTATACCAACAGGAAAAGTAGTGTTCAAAAGCGCTTTGTATTACTGTTGTAACATTGTGCTACTTACAACTTTATCTTAAACAATGTTTGAATTATTTGTATTGTATACTGAAAGGTAGGTTCGCGTCAACTACATTGTGTTACAGTAAACTACGTTTATAACGAACACGCTTATAACGAAGTGACGGATATAACGAGCTGTTGTTTTTGGTCTCGGTCATTTGCGATAACCTTCAGTTGAAATGCTTATAACGAACTACGGATATAACGAACACAACATATTGGTCCCTTTGGGTTCGTTATAACCGTAGTTTACTGTATATGGCTGTGCTTCCTCGTCAGTATTTTCATAGAGATACTATACTTAACTAACCGCAGAGAAACGCAAGTTGTACATATATAATAGGAATAACGTTAAGGTCATAATGGTATGTAACAAATGGGCGTTGACTGAATGATAAAAAAAACATCCGTTATTCGTGAAACATTCCCCCTAAAAAAGAGGGCCCCCAAACAGAAAAATTGCAAGTGTCAGTCGTGTCCATCAATAGAGTTTGTGGCCTCCGTTAGCTGCGATACAGGCCGCTCATCGCCGTCTCATTGAGTCGTCAAGTTTCTGAAGAAGGCTTGATGAATCCTGTTCTATTACCACGCAAAACAGGCTTCCAGTTCGTGAAGTGTGGATGGCTGTCTTGCATCCTGAAGACGTCTCCCAATCTCGTGCAGTACGTGATCAGCAGGCGCCATGTCCGGTGACGAAGACGAATTCCATGGAGACTCGTGATGTATGGGGACGAGCGTTGTTCTGTTGAAAGACCTGGAAACACCATCCCTGAACACGACAGCAGTCAGACGCCGACGGAACACGTTTAGAGCGCTCCTGGGATGATAACTAACGATTGAGTGAGTGAGTTGGGTTTTACGCCGCTTTTAGCAATATTCCAGCAATATCACGGCGGGGGACACCAGAAATGGGCTTCACAGATTGTACCCATACGGGGAAACAATCCCGGGCGAACGCTTCAACCACTAGGCTACTCCACGCCCCGTCGGCCTGTAAGAGACAGCGTTACGTCGGTTAACCCTCGATACGTCTGAGATGACAACTGTTGACGTCGCTAACGCAGGTGCTATTGGGCCAAATACAAACGTTGTTGTCGGGGACCTTGAGTCAGTAATGGCTCGACGTTAGGACGATGTCATCTGATTCCTCCCACTCTTAGACGACGAGGAACTGACACGGGATGACGTGGGCGTTGAATAGTTTACGCTGTCGCGGTGCCCGTCGTTGTCGATCACGCCGATGCGTCACCCGGATGTAACGGTCCTGCGCTGGAGTAGCGACCCTCTGGCCTTGGACACTGCCTGTCCCTTGATGCCTGGCGATTAATTTGATGATGGTAATACACATCGCATCCAAAGTACCTCGCCACTGCAGTTGACGTTGATCCAGCCTGCCGCATCCCAATGGCAACGCCTCGCTGAGGTTAATCAAACCGGGTTTCCTGTCCTTTTTCTAAGTCGGGTGTGAAATGCTTGTTGCTACATGGTGGCTTATGAGGATGGACAGGGAGGAAATTGCACGCATGTATGAATGTGATTTGTAAACAACGTCAAACGAGAGAGGGAGCGGAGAAAGGGGTCTGAGGGAGAGAGTGAATGAATGAGGGAGGCAGGGAAAGAGGGGAATGGGAGAGAGGAAGGAAAGAGAGAGGAATGGGAGAGAGGAAGGGAAAGAGAGAGGAATGGGAGAGAGGAATCGGAGAGATGAAGGGAAAGAGAGGAATGGGAGAGAAGAAGGGAAAGAGAGGAAGGGAAAGAGAGGAATGGGAGAGAGGAGGGAGAGAGAGGAATGGGAGAGAGGAGGGGAGAGAGGAGGGAAAGAGATAGGAATGGGAGAGAGGGAGGGAAAGAGAGAGGAATGGGAGAGAGGAGGGAAAGAGAGAGGAATGGGAGAGAGGAAGGGAAAGAGAGGAATGGGAGAGAAGAAGAAAAAGAGAGGAAGGGAAAGAGAGGAATGGGAGAGAGGAGGGAAAGAGAGGAATGGGAGAGAGGGAGGGGAGAGAGGTGGGAAAGAGAGAGGAATGGGAGAGAGGAAGGGAAAGAGAGAGGAATGGGAGAGAGGAAGGGAAAGAGAGGAATGGGAGAGAGGGAGGGGAGAGAGGAGGGAAAGAGAGAGGAATGGGAGAGAGGAGGGAAAGAGAGAGGAATGGGAGAGAGGGAGGGAAAGAGAGGAATGGGAGAGAGGAGGGAAAGAGAGAGGAAGGGAAAGAGGGAGGAAGGGAAAGCGGGAGGAAGGAAAGAGAGAGGAATGGGAGAGAAGAAGGGAAAGAGAGGAATGGGAGAGAGGAAGGGAAAGAGAGGAATGGGAGAGAGGAAGGGAAAGAGAGGAATGGGAGAGAGGAGGGAAAGAGAGAGGAATGGGAGAGAGGGAGGGAAAGAGAGAGGAATGGAGAGAGGAGGGAAAGAGGGAGGAATGGGAGAGAGGAAGGGAAAGAGAGGAATGGGAGAGAGGGAGGGAAAGAGAGGAAGGAAAGAGAGAGGAATATGGGAGAGAAGAAGGGAAAGAGGGGGGAATGGGAGAGAGGAATGGAGAGAGGGGGAAGAGAGAGGAATTGGAGAGAGAAATGGGAGGGAGGAAGGAAAGAGAGAGGAATGGGAGAGAGGAAGGAAAGTGAGAGGAATGGGAGAGAGGAGGGAAAGAGTGAGGAATGGGAGAGAGGAAGGAAAGAGAGAGGAATGGGAGAGAGGAAGGGAAAGAGAGAGGAATGGGAGAGAGGAAGGGAAAGAGAGGAATGGGAGAGAGGGAGGGGAGAGAGGAGGGAAAGAGAGAGGAATGGGAGAGAGGGAGGGAAAGAGAGAGGAATGGGAGAGAGGAGGGAAAGAGAGAGGAATGGGAGAGAGGAGGGAAAGAGAGAGGAATGGGAGAGAGGGAGGGAAAGAGAGGAATGGGAGAGAGGAGGGAAAGAGAGAGGAAGGGAAAGAGGGAGGAAGGGAAAGAGGGAGGAAGGAAAGAGAGAGGAATGGGAGAGAAGAAGGGAAAGAGAGGAATGGGAGAGAGGAAGGGAAAGAGAGGAATGGGAGAGAGGAAGGGAAAGAGAGGAATGGGAGAGAGGAGGGAAAGAGAGAGGAATGGGAGAGAGGGAGGGAAAGAGAGAGGAATGGAGAGAGGAGGGAAAGAGGGAGGAATGGGAGAGAGGAAGGGAAAGAGAGGAATGGGAGAGAGGGAGGGAAAGAGAGGAAGGAAAGAGAGAGGAATATGGGAGAGAAGAAGGGAAAGAGGGGGGAATGGGAGAGAGGAATGGAGAGAGGGGGAAGAGAGAGGAATTGGAGAGAGAAATGGGAGGGAGGAAGGAAAGAGAGAGGAATGGGAGAGAGGAAGGAAAGAGGGGGGAATGGGAGAGAGGAAGGGAAAGAGGGGGAATGGGAGAGAGGAAGGGAAAGAGGGAGGAATGGGAGAGAGGAAGGAAAGAGAGAGGAATGGGAGAGAGGGAGGGAAAGAGAGAGGAATGGGAGAGAGGAGGGAAAGAGTGAGGAAGGAGAGAGAAAAATGGAGAGGGGGGGGGGGGGGGGGGGGGGGGAAGAGGGAGGAAGGGGAGAGAGGTAGGGAAGGTTGATGACGGCTCTCTCATGTCATGTCAACCTTTTGTTGTAAATCATTTTAGTCAAGGGCCTTTAAATTTGTAACAATTTCACCAATAATATGTAAATGCATATTGATCAAAGTCTCGTTCAGCCAGCCCCACTCACTACTGAGCGTGTGTGACGGGACGTTATGATACGGGATGCTCCCTATTTGTTTTCATAGCCTCCTAAAGTGCGCTCCGCCCCATCACTCTCTGAACGGCAATGTAGCAGCCTGACATTATGTCGTAACGATTAATGGGTGAAAGCGAGCAGGAGGAAGCAATCAAGCTGGATCGTTCATGTCCACTGACCATGAGGCAATGCAATACAGCTGGCTCGGAGAACACGCTACCCTGGCATTACTGACGTCGATTTCGTGGTTCGATCGAAAAACATGAAAACATAGGGCTGGCATAGACGGATCATTTTGATGAAAAGTGGATATAAATGACGAAATTACCGTACTTCCTAAGTAGGAAGATATATCTTCCCGACATCATTAAATTGCTATGTTTACCGGACCACTGTCATTCTCAAAACAGCTCACTTAGGTTTTCTTTTTCGAATCGACTCATTTATATTGTCACTTTCGAATCAACTCATTTAAATTGTCACTCTCGAATCAACTCATTAATATTGTCATTCTTAAATCAACTCATTTATATTTTCACTCTCAAATCAACTCATTTATATTGTTATTCTTGAATCAACTCATTTATATTGTCACTCTCGAATCAACTCATTTAAATTGTCACTCTCGAATCAACTCCTTTATATTGTCACTCTCGAATCGACTAATTTATATTGTCACTCTCGTTCCAAATCATTTATATTGTCGCTCTCGAATCAACTCATTTATATTGTCACTCCAGAATCAACTCATCTATATTTTGGCTCCCGAATCAGCTTCGTCATTCTTCATTCTCACTTATACTGTGACCCTGAATCAACTATTCAAATTATCAGTGCCACTCTTTTCGTCACCCTAAAATCAACTATATATCTTTTTTTTGTCCATTCCTACGCCGATCTCGAAGCACGTCCCTCATCGCACATGTGCATGCACCATTACTCTGCTGCTCTTTTCTGCATGTTGGTATAGTAAGTGAGTGAGTTGGGTTAACGCCGCTTTTAACGGTATTCCAGTTATATCACGGCGTATCAGCTTAATGTGGGAGGAAAGCCCGAAGTGATGCAAATCTCAGACATTTACCAAAATCGGGGCTAACCGGGATTCGAACCCACGATCAAAGGTTTCTGGCGTGGCCAAGGGACGCAACTCTGCAAAGCGTGTCGCTGCGCCTTAGACGACTTAGCCACCCGTGCCCCCATGTTGGTATAGAATGATGTAGGTATACATATGTATATCAACCCATAATTAACTCATTAATAGTGTCCCTTCTGACATTATAATCATGACTCGTGTCTTTAATAACATTACGGACGAGGAGAACGTACACGAACGTGGTAGGTAATTACCTTCCTATGTCAATTAACGTTAGTGTTCTTGTTATAAACAGTTCATGTGTCCACTAACTGGGTTCCCTGACAATACCCAGAGCCCAGTGTGTATGGTGTGTATGGTGATCGTTCATTCTGATAAACCGGGGTTAGGAGACACGCACTTGGTATTGATTGTCCGACATGTCAAGAGCAAGAAGCCATGCAATACCTTCTCCCGTCGTGACTTCAGCCAGCAACAAGAGCCACAACTGAGACAGACTGAGATCAATAGCGGCTGAATTACAAGAGAAAACACGTCTTATCCAACGACATGCTCACAAAGGTATTCTTGTGAAATCTTTTAAGAAATCGATCCGTTTGCCAAAATATTTTTTTTTGGTCGAAACATCTCGTGTTGTACAACTTTTGTAGGAGATCTGGATTGTGCATTTTTATCTTATCTGTTTTCTATGCATGCAGTGACAGCAACTAACAGTTCTATATGGAGGTAACTAGTCCTTATAGAGGTAACATATAGCAAAACCCTAAAACACGGCGAATTTCTACTGGTCCGTACCTTAGCTATTGGGCAGTTTGGCAAGGACTACAGGACTAGTGCCAGTCTGTAATGCTATGCATGTGCATCATCCTGAGAAAGACTCCATCCCCATTGAAGTGTCAGGGCAGAAACCATGTTTGTCTCCGTGAAGGAGTGCAAAGCAAATTAGGTCCCAGTAACCATATTTGGCTCCGTGAAGGAGTGCAAAGCGAATAAGGTCCCAGTATCCATGTTTGTCTCCGTGAAGGAGTGCAAAGCGAATTAGGTCCCAGTACCCATGTTTGTCTCCGTGAAGGAGTGCAAAGCGAGTTAGGTCCCAGTACCCATGTTTTTCTCCATGTTGGAGTGCAAAGCGAATTCGGTCCCAGTACCCATGCTTGTCTCCATGAGGGAGTGCAAAGCGAATTCGGTCCCAGTACCCATGCTTGTCTCCATGAGGGAGTGCAAAGCGAATTCGATCCCCGGTACCCATGCTTGTCTCCGTGAAGGAGTGCAAAGAGAATTCGGTCCCAGTACCAATGCTTGTCTCCATGAGGAAGTGCAAAGCGAATTCGGTCCCAGTACCAATGCTTGTCTCCATGAGGAAGTGCAAAGCGAATTAGGTCCCAGTACCCATGTTTGTCTCCGTGAAGGAGTGCAAAGAGAATTCGGTCCCAGTACCAATGCTTGTCTCCGTGAGGAAGTGCAAAGCGAGTTAGGTCCCAGTACCCATGTTTGTCTCCGTGAAGGAGTGCAAAGAGAATTCGGTCCCAGTACCAATGCTTGTCTCCATGAGGAAGTGCAAAGCGAATTAGGTCCCAGTATCTATGCTTGTCTCCGTGAAGGAGTGCAAAGCGAGTTAGGTCCCAGTACCCATGCTGGTCTCCATGAAGGAGTGCAAAGCGAAATAGGTCCCAGTACCAATGCTTGTCTCCATGAGGGAGTGCAAAGCGAAATAGGTCCCAGTACCCATGCTGGTCTCCATGAGGGAGTGCAAAGCGAAATAGGTCCCAGTACCCATGCTTGTCTCCATGTAGGAGTGCAAAGCGAATTCGGTCCCAAGTACTCATGCTGGTCTCCATGAGGGAGTGCAAAGCGAAATAGGTCCCAGTACCCATGCTGGTCTCCATGTAGGAGTGCAAAGCGAATTCGGTCCCAGTACTCATGCTTGTCTCCATGAGGGAGTGCAAAGCGAAATAGGTCCCAGTACTCATGCTTGTCTCCATGAGGGAGTGCAAAGCGAAATAGGTCCCAGTACCCATGCTTGTCTCCATGAGGGAGTGCAAAGCGAAATAGGTCCCAGTACTCATGCTTGTCTCCATGAGGGAGTGCAAAGCGAAATAGGTCCCAGTACCCATGCTTGTCTCCATGAGGGAGTGCAAAGCGAAATAGGTCCCAGTACCCATTCTTGTCTCCATGAGGGAGTGTAAAGCGAATTCGGTCCCAAGTACTCATGCTGGTCTCCATGAGGGAGTGCAAAGCGAATTCGGTCCCAAGTTCCCATGCTTGTCTCCATGAGGGAGTGCAAAGCGAAAAAGGTCCCAGTACCCATTCTTGTCTCCATGAGGGAGTGCAAAGCGAATTCGGTCCCAAGTTCCCATGCTTGTCTCCATGAGGGAGTGCAAAGCGAATTCGGTCCCAAGTTCCCATGCTTGTCTCCGTGACGGAGTGCAAAGCGAATTAGGTCCCCAGTACCCACTCTTGTCTCCATTGATTCGAATGCTAGTACGGCCCCATAATTTCATGCTTGCCTCCCCTTTGGGAATCTTGAGACAAATAGACATGCAGTAACCGCTCTTGTCGCTAACGAGGATCTGATGACCACTGTGTGATCAGACTGACCGCATCATCGTTCAACTAGAACAGGCATCTCAGTGACGTCATGATCTGGCCAACATCTGGCCAAGAATTTTTAAAGCCGCCGAAATATAGTTTCATTATTGCTGGGATATAGTTGGGATATAGCTGAAATATAGCTGTTATATATCTGGGATATAGCTGGGATATAGCTTGGACAGAGCTTGGATATAGCTTTGATATAGCTAGGATAGAGCTAGGGTATAGCTGGGATATAGCTGGGGTATAGCTGGGATATAGCTGGGATATAGCTGGGATATAGCTGGGATATAGCTGGAATATAGCTAGGATATAGCTGGAATATAGCTGGAATATAGCTAGGGTATAGCTGGGATATAGCTGGGATATAGCTGGGATATAGCTAGGATATAGCTGGGATACAGCTGGGATATAGCTGGGATATGTCTTCGATATGTCTGGGATATATCTGGACTATAGCTGAGATATAGCTGGGATATAGCTAGGATATAGCTGGGATAGAGCTAGGATAGAGCTGGAATATAGCTGGGATATGTCTGGGACATATCTTGGATATGCCTTGGATATAGCTTGGATATGTCTGTGATATGTCTCGGATATAGCCAGGATACGTCTTCGATATATCTGGGACATATCTGGGATATAGCTGGGATATGTCTGGGATATAACTTGGATATGTCTGGGATATGTCTGGGAAATAACTGTGATATGCCTGGGATGTGTCTGGGATATAACTGGAATATTGCTGGGATAAATCTGACAATATAACAAGGATGCAGCTTGGTAAGTTATTGAAATATCCTGACTGCCACTTCAAGCATCATTCACTCGATTGGAAATTCATAATAAAATAATCCGTTACAATTTAGATGACATATGGTACTAGTAAATGTAAATAAGTAAAACACCTACAGCCCGTGGACCACAATCACCCCGAACCGTCAGTGGTTCGCTAAACTATCTGCGTCTTCATCCATGGTCAATATTCACGATGCTGCAGGCGAACGTAATTGACAGTGGTAGCGACATCTAGGCAGCCAGATGAACTTCTCCTTGTCGTTTATGTGTTCTGAGTCAATTTAGATCGGGTCAATATCAATCATCAGCACAATAGCTAGTGTCGGGTTCATCGATATACACAAAATACGTCGTGTTGTCTGAAGATGTCAGTCTCATCATTATACACAATATATGTCGTGTTATCTGTTGAATAATTATTTAGTGTATAGTTCTATTTTGTGTTATCCATATTTTCATAAATCACGACAGATCATAATAAATACATCCTTATATACGATACAGCTACATAATGATATCTGTATTAATACGGTTATATTGTTTCAAATGTTCCCACATTAGATATAGTTACTGCACGTTCCAAAGGAATATGTCGTAGATATTACAGACTTAATAAATATGCAGAATCATCAACTCGGGATATAACGAATTCAGGACAATGCGATATATCAGGAGTTCTGTTTTACCAAACACTATTAACGCACATTTAGGATTCGAATATGCAATTGTCAGTTTTTGTATTGACTTTACAGAAATAGTCGGACGGAAAGATGGGATTAGTACCACCGCAACGACCATATGTCCTTAACCAACATTACAACATTCAAGGTCTCAGTAAAATGTTCAAAACGTTTTATGGTAGACATGTGGAGGACATTTCCAAATTTGACGTATCAGTGACAAAACTTGTGTCCGATACAATTCCCTATTTTTACTTGTGTCACATGTTCACGTGTTTTTCTCGGGGGCACAATTGACTTTCCTTTGCATGTATTTGTGATGGGCTCCATCGGTGGGGCAGGATACGCTCACCTTTTCGCAAACACCTGGTATCATACACAATGGATAGTGATTCATAAACACATGCTGGGCCATGCTTTCAGAAGACATTTCTTATGAATATGGAAAGGGTTTTGTCGCTTTCATCATTATCATTGTTTAAAGATACTTCGACGGCAATATTGTCCAATTATATTGTACATAAATGGCTTCTCCAATCCGCTGTATTTATAACTGTCTGACGTGTATAAAGTGAATTCGTTGATGGTCACAGCATTATGTGAGAAGGGTGATCCTGTAATTTAAGGCCATGTTCAAAGGTTATTATACTTATATAGTGGCGTGCATTTACGTGTGTGTGTGTGTGTGTGTGTGTGTGTGTGTGTGTGTGTGTGTGTGTGTGTGTGTGTGTGTGTGTGTGTGTGTGTGTGTGTGATTGTCTGCGCGTGTATGTGCATGCGTGTGTGTGTTCGTCCGTGCGTGCACACGTGCGTGTGTGCGTGAGTGAGTGTGTGCGTGCGTGCGTTCGTGTTAGTGGTTGTAGCTTCAGTTGGTTGAGTGGCCACAGGGTGGTGGTTTGCCTTGTCAATATTCGATTATTAATAGAAACCATACAGCTGAGTGCGACGTTAAACAAAATCAATAAACCTTTCAGCTGCCACTTGTGAAACATTGTCATTAAGAATGATACAGGTACATCCGTTATATATATACGCGAGGCCATTACGGAGACATATCTGCAAAGTCAGTGTCTTGATACTCTTTGTCTAATTTCACACTCACATTTCATACTCACAAGTATTGCAGTGACTTCGTTGTGGGGAATTCTAAGAAAGAGATCTAAATTTAAGTATGAAATCGAATTTGTCTCGAGAAAAAACGTTAATCCTCAAAGAAGGTAACGCAGGCAGATAAATGGTTATACAGAAGAGTGAGTGAGTGAGTAAGGTTTTACGCCGCTTTTAGCAATATTCCAGCAATTTCATGGCGGGGGACACCAGAAATGGGTTTCACAATTCGTACCCATGTCGGGAATCGATCCCGGGTCTTCGGCGTGACGAGCGAACGCTTTCACCACAAGGCTACTCGACCGCCCCGTTATACAGAAGAGTACAGATGTGTGTGAGTCTCGCTGGTAGCTACATGGTTATAAAGAACAGTATATATATTTGTCAGAACTGATATGTGTGCATCGTGCGGGCAGCCGTGGGGTTATATAGAAATGATTATGTTCAATTAAACCATATTCTGAACTTACATGCGTTACTTCTGAACAAACTCAACGGGGCGGTCGGGTAGTCTAGTGGTTAAAGCGTTCGCTCGTCACGCCGAAGATCCGGGTTCGATTCCCGACATGGGTACACTATGTGAAGCCCATTTCTGGTGTCCCCCGCCGTGATATTGCTGAAATATGGCTAAAAGCGGCGTAAAACCATACTCACTCACTCACTCACTCCCTCTGAAAAAAATCTAAAACCTCGACCTGACAACTGAACCCGCGAAACTGCATAAACAGTGCAGTCGATAGCGACAGCAGAGGTGGGCCAATCGGTGACAGCAAAGGTGGGCCAATCGGTGATAGCAGAGGTGGGCCAATCGGTTGCCGCCGACCGCTAAAGTGTCAACGAAACATGGTGTGTTGAGAAACACATTCATGAGCATCATGTCCACGTGCAGTGTGTCACACTCCATCCCTGTCTCTTGTTCGAAGTAAATGTATTCTTCTGTTGCAAACAGAACGCCCACTGACCTACTTCAGCAGATTGTTTAACAGTAGCAACAAATCACGTAGAACGCCCACTGGCCCATATCACATCACAAGATTGTTAAGCAGTAACAACAAATCACGTAGAACATCCACTGACACACATCACAAGATTATTTAGCAGTAGCAACAAATCACGTAGAACGCCCACTGATCCACATCACATCACAAGATTGTTTAGCAGTAACAACAAATCACGTAGAACATCCACTGACCCATATCACAAGATTATTTAGCAGTAACAACAAATCACGTAGAACGCCCACTGATCCACATCACATCACAAGATTGTTTAGCAGTAACAACAAATCACGTAGAACATCCACTGACACACATCACAAGATTGTTTAGCAGTAACAACAAATCACGTAGAACGTCCACTGACCCATATCACATCACAAGATTGTTTAGCAGTAACAACAAATCACATAGAACGTCCACTGACCCACAACACAAGATTGTTTAGCAGTAACAACAAATCACGTAGAACATCCACTGACACACATCACAAGATTGTTTAGCAGTAACAACAAATCACGTAGAACGTCCACTGGCCCATATGACATCACAAGATTGTTTAGCAGTAACAACAAATCACGTAGAATGCCCACTGACACACATCACAAGATTGTTTAGCAGTAACAACAAATCACGTAGAACGTCCACTGACCCATATCACATCACAAGATTGTTTAGCAGTAGCAACAAATCACGTAGAACGTCCACTGACCCATATCACATCACAAGATTGTTTAGCAGTAGCAACAAATCACGTAGAACATCCACTGGCCCATATCACATCACAAGATTGTTTAGCAGTAACAACAAATCACGTAGAACATCCACTGACCCACATCACAAGATTGTTTAGCAGTAGCAACAAATCACGTAGAACGTCCACTGACCCATATCACACCACAAGATTGTTTAGCAGTAACAACAAATCACGTAGAACATCCACTGACCCACATCACAAGATTATTTAGCAGTAGCAACAAATCGCGTAGAACATCCACTGGCCCACATCACAAGATTGTTTAGCAGTAGCAACAAATCACGTAGAACATCCACTGGCCCACATCACAAGATTGTTTAGCAGTAACAACAAATCACGTAGAACATCCACTGGCCCATATCACATCACAAGACTGTTTAGCAGTAGCAACAAATTAAGTAGAACGCCCACTGGCCCATATCACATCACAAGATTGTTTAGCAGTAGAATCAAATCACGTAGAACGTCCACTGACCCATATCAAAATAGCTTTGACAACTATATGAATTGACCACTGAAAATCAGTGATGACACCAGGTGTTCTCGAAAAGGGTAAGCATGTCGTGCTCTACCGTAGCATCCGACATTCAACAAGGTGCATAAAAAAGTAAATAGTTCCTGCTAGACGCCACAAAACAGTACTCCTGCCAAGCGACGTCAGCCTGTAAACAACCCAGACAATCAAGTGATCGATGAACAAGAAACTCCAGTGACACGATAGTGCATTTACTGATTTTGTTGAAACTAATAATAAGTGGCTTCCTAGGTTGAAATTTGATTTTCTGTTTCATCAAGCTGTCTACTGGTCCCCGATCTATACATAACACCTCCTCGATTCGATACATCGAGGACACAGTAGTGTATACTTTATGAACATATGCTGTTGATATCATATTCCGTCATGACTATGACTGCCTCCGTGGTCTAGTGGTAGAGCGTCTGTCCGGGGACTGGAAGGTCTGGTGTTCTATCCCCGCCGCGTCATACCAAAAGACGTTAAAAGATGGTACTTGTTGTTACCCCGCCTGGCGTTCGGCATTTTGGGGCAAAAACAAGGACTGGTCGGCTCGGAGTCAGTATACTGTGTCTGAGTGGGGTATTCATGTTAAACTGCGGCATGGTATCTCAGTGGGCTAGCACTATAAATCGGCATCAATCCGGACTAGAACAAGCAGCCACACACACACACGTGCATGCACGTCGCTATATAAGTGCAATAATTTTGAACGCGACGTTAAACCCCATTTCACCTCAACCCCGTCATAATGATAATATATTATAATGATTATATATATATATAACGTCAGCGTCAGAGAATAATCAGTCTCGAAACAGATTCCATTGGGCTTAAAAGGCAAAAAAGAGGTGAAAATTATATGAATAGTTCACTGAATATCAATTGTGACACCAGGTGTTCGCAGAGGTAGTGTTAAAAACAAAAACGATTGTTTTAACTTGTGTTTAATAATCTGTGTTCGTTCGTTCGTTCTTTTCGTTGTTGTTTAACACCGTACTAAGCAATATTCCAGCTATATATGACGGCGGTCTGTAAATAATCACGTCTGGACCAGACAATCCAGTGATTGACATCATGAGGATCGATCCCTGCAATTAGGATACCATGACCTGCATCAACCAAGTCAGCGAGTCTGACCACCCGATCCCGTTAGTCGCCTCTTACGACAAGCATAGTCGCCTTTTTCGGCAAGCATGGGTCCCTGAAGGCCTATTCTATCCGGGTCTGCAAGGGTCGTATATCTGTGCAATATTGTTATGATAATTATTAACTATTGTACGGTGACCCCTCGAGGTTGGCCCTGTGGTCAAAGCGTTCGCCCACCACGCTACTCTGCCCTGAGTACAGGGTAGGAGCATTTTTAATCTCCTCGGTCATGACCTAGATGGAATATTGCTGTCCCAAATTTGTCAGTACCAATTTTGTCAGTGGGATATATAATGTCTGATACTACACCTGAAAATTTATATGAATGGGCCACTGAAAATCAGTGATGACACCAGGTGTTCGCGAAAAGGGAAAGCATGTCCTGCCTTACGGGAGCGCGGGCCATTCATACAACTGCATAAACAGGTGAGTGGTTGTGAGCTGAGTTTAACGCCGCTTTTAACAGTATTCCAGTCATATCGCGGCGTGTCAGCTTAATGTGGGAGGAAAGCCTGAAGTGATGCAGGTCTCAGATGCTTACCACTTCAGTGAAACCCACGAGCACGGGTATAGTGCTGACAAACCTAGAAACATAATCGGGGCGAACCAGGATTCGAACCCACAACCATAGGTTTCTTTCGTGCCTAAGGGACGCAACTTTGCACAGCGAATCGCGGCGCCTTAGATGACTGGGTGTGCACCCTAAAAAAAAGTAGGTATTTATTGCCCGGCGCGGCACAGCAGTACTCCTGCCATTCGACGTCGGCCGATACACAAACCAGATAATCAAGTGATCGATGAAAAAGTAAATTTTGTGACACGACAGTGCCTGTTCTGATTTTGTTGAAACTAATCAAAAGTTTTCTCAATGAAGGAGGTGGCTTCTTAGTTTTAAATTCGTGTGTAGATGGTTTATAATGACAGATACTACCCCTGCAATTATATGAATGGACCACTGAAATAAATAATGACCCCAGGTGTTCGCGAAAAGGTAAGAATGTCCTGCCTAGCGGGAGCACCTGCCAGTCATCTATACCAGCGCTCCATATATAGAATCTTGCACGAGATGGCTACACAATGCATGATATCATGAACCTGACAAGAGGTTCATTCAGACAGAGGGAAGAATTCCGTCACTCTCACACTCCAAGGTCTATCAAGTGAAATTCGCACATACAGGTACGCGCAATAGGCCCCAATCCCCCGTATTGCTATATGGTTGTGACATTGCAACAAGCCTTGCAAGGTTCCATATGACGGAAGAAGCCTGCTCATATAGGAAGCTATGTAACAAAGTCATTCGAAGCGTTTGTCATGCCAGATGGCTGTGTACTCACCGCCGTGATGCGGCTCCCGGCAGCCATCTTCCTGCAAGTCCATGGTACTAGGGATCCACCGTGACGTCATTGGTTTAAATGATAATCACTTTCTTACCGTGGTCACTCATTTGTCCGAGCCACAAGTCCCAACGCTTTTTCACTGGCAGTCGTGTCCTAGCAGCGATTGAAGACGAAATTAAAACCGATCGATAACGTCACCGCTCGGAGATGTTGGCAGTAGAGCTATGTTTGGTGCATGAAATCTGATGTGCCAACAAGAATCTATATTTCAAGCAAAGCCGTTATCGTTTATGCTCATATTCTTGAACCAATATTTGATGTCAAGCATTGTTTCTGACAGATATGGGGGTTCCGTTACTGCTATCTTTGATGAATGGGTATTTGTGACGAGCGTGCAAGGAGAGCTCAGAATAACCTCGCCCGCGTTTGTTCCGCCATGTTTATTATCGATCCCAGCCACTGCCTTGTGGTGCCAGTGTCCCGTGTTTCCAATGGGTTGTTAATTGACTAAAAATCGATAATGGCTCGTGAATTAGAACGCAGTGATCAGCCAAGGTATTAATGACCATATGAACCAGAGAAAGAAAACAATGATGGCCGCTCTCCTGTCCCCGAGGTCGGAGAGCAATTATCGACCAATCAGATGTAATCAGGGCGATCAGGTTGCCATGCCAACGAGAAGCTACAGGCCACGATACTGTTTGGTGTTATTACATTGCGGCACGTGATACGCGTGTAAATCAGGTATCCACCCCCAAGACTTATTCCAGAACAACCGACAGCTGCTGTTGGTAATAACAGCTTGATCATTAGAGCTTGACCTTGCATTGTCAAATGGCTGATCGATCTTATGAAAATCTCATGAAAATATTGCCTCCATGCTATTCTAACTGTTCTAACAGTTTATGTAGGTGGTAACAGTACCCGAGTTCCATGGTAAAACATCAAAACAACATCTATCAGACAGACAGACAGACAGACAGACTGTGTCGGCAATAAAACATAGGTGATGCAGTAATATTCAAAATCATTTAATCACGGGGAATGTTCCAGATCAGTCACATCAGTCAGTTGACAATTAAATTGCATTTACTGTTAAAGCAAAGTTTGTATCACCAATTCTAACATTGCCATATCTTCACTTTAAAACTTACTGTCGATATTATTTTAGAGTTTATGTAGGACATCAAGGCTTAATAGAACAGTGGTATAGTCAATAGAGGTTATCACGCGAGTGTGTTTGGGGATGGTAAATATCCTGCAGTAGGAATAAACATTGTATTTAGCGAGCCTTGGCGAGCTAAATACATAGTGTTTATTCCTAATACTGTCACAGTCCGACTGACACACCACTTACCCTGTGACGTAATACATATTAATGCGCGCATTCCAGGAAAACTCGCAATCTTTCGGTAATGTTTGTGAGAGAGGGAGAGCTATTTTCAAGCACAGAATTAAAGAATGACATTATATGATAAAGAGGTTATCACGCTTTTGTGTTTGGGGATGGTAAATATCCTGCATTAGGAATAAACATTGTATTTAGCGAGCCTTGGCGAAATCGCTGCACTATGCAAGCTATATTACAATAAATAAATATTCTAGTCTGGACCAGACAAACCAGTGATCACCATTTTGAGCAACGTCCACACTGTCGGCATATTATCAACTCGATGTTCATATTTAAATGATTGAGTTCCCGTTAAGTCACAATCAAGCAACAGCACGACGAAGTGGGTGAGTGAGTATTGCTTTACGCCGCTTTTAGCAATAGTCTAGCAATATCATGGCGGGGGACAGCTCGAGTGGTTTTCCCACGTTGTACCCATTGTGGGAATCCAACGGGGGCCTTCGGTGGGTCGAGGCTTTAACCATGAGGCTATAACATCCCCTTTTTACAATGTTTATTTCAATCATTTCTTCTGAACCTTCTACCTTCATGGCGCGGAATAATAACAATCTCATTAAAATAAGATCTTAGTTCTAGCTACCGCGAAACAAAGATCTGAGGACATCCCATCACAAGTCACGTCAGACCGACCTTGCGTGAACTTTGACCGACCAATGGAATGACTGACAAGAAGCCGACATTAGCCAATCAGATAGCAGCTTTCTCGTGCCTTACGTTACTAGTTTTAAACTGGCGACTACTCTTCGAAACAGATTTTGAAACATATCTCGATTAATAATTTGAAATTGAACAAAAGAACAGTGTTGAATGGCTAATATATTCCCTAGATTGTATGGAATCAGTCAAAAAGCCCGTAACTGTTGTTCGGAATACCCCGTCTCAAATATTTCGAGGTTTAGTTTGGAAAACATTCTGACTGTCACTTTCATGATCTGGAAATTTCCTAGCAGCCAAGATGTCGTGAGTAGCCCCAGGTAGAAAATCTATGCATTTATCATAAATTAGAATACGTAATCTTGACTTACCAATAGACTTCCAGTTATTATGTATTATTTGATCATACAATCGTGCCTATATTAACATATGGTTCTGAAATTTGGGGATTTTGTAAACTAGATATGATAGAAAAGATTCACACAGATTTCTTAAAATATATACTAAGGGTAAGGATATACTTTTATAGGGAGAACTGGGAACTCCTATTACTGATTTAATTAAACAAAGAATGTTGACATATTTGGTCCAAGATAACTTATAATAAACCAACGAAATTGTGTACTGTTATGTATAATGTAATATTTGGGGGTACGGGTGGCCCAGTCGTCTAAGGCGCCGCGATTCGCTGTGCAGAGTTGTGTCCCTTGGGCACGCCAGAAACCTATGGTTGTGGGTTCGAATCCAGGTTCGCCCCGATTATGTTTGTAGGTTTGTCAGCACCATACCGATGTGGTAAACGTCTCAGACCTGCATCACTTCGGGCTTTCCTCCCGAATTAAGCTGACATGATATGACTGGAATAATGTTAAAAGCGGCGTTAAACCCAACTCACTCAGTCACTAATGTATTATTGGCAGACTCCTATAACCATATATACAGCTGGCTCGAATAGGATTGGGCCTTAGTTTTATATGGACACAACAATTCATGCCAAATATAAATGTATTAAAATATGTTATAAAACAACATATCTCTGATCAGTTCAGCCAGACTTGGTCAAGTTGGATAAACAACTCTCCTAAGGCAGTATTTTACCGAGTATTTAAACATAAAATCCAGTTAGAAAATCATCTGCTGTCGCTACCCTTAAGACTCAGTATCCCAATAAGTATGATAAGATCCACAAACCATGTCTCGTGTCAATGCCTCGTGGATAGATGCTCATGATATCAATCACTGGATTGTCTGGTCCAGACTCGATTATTTACAGACCGCCGTCATATAGCTGGAATATTGCTGAGTGCGGCGTTAAACAACAAAGCAACCAAATCATAATCAACTATCATTACTGTAAAGTGTTGGCTTCCACTGTCTATTGCTAATCACCTATCACCGCCAATTATCTGTTGGCTTCCCTTGTTAAGTTTCGACCTTTTTGTAATCTTATTACTTTTGTTGTTCTTACATGTACAGGGGGACACGGGTGGCCCAGTCGTCTAAGGCGCCGCGATTCGCTGTGTAGAGTTGTGTCTCTTAGGCACGCCAGAAACCTATGATTGTGGGTTCGAATCCCGGTTCGCCCCGATTATGTTTCTAGGTGTGTCAGCACCATACCCGTGCTTGTGGGTTTCACCGAAGTGGTAAACGTCTGAGACCTACATCACTTCGGGCTTTCCTCCCTCATTAAGCTGACACGCCGTGATATGACTGTAATACTGTTAAAAGCGGCGTTAAACCCAACTCACTCACTCACTCTTACATGTACATATATATATATTCTCTGCCTCATATAATTCCTTCACTTTATGAAGGCGTAAGTATATACCATGAAAATGTTGTGTTCCTCAAAATAAAGAAGGGGCGGTCGGGTAGCCAAGTGGGTAAAGCGTTCGCTCGTCACGCCGAAGACCCGGGTCCGATTCCCGACATGGGTACAATGTTTGAAACCCATTACTGGTGTCCCCCGCCGTGATATTGCTGGAATATTGCTAAAAGCGGCGTAAAACCATACTCACTCACTCATGATAAAGAAGTTGACATCCACAAATTGCTCTTCCTGAACCGAATGTAGATATTTTACGTGCGCAGTAGATGCGACTTCAGTTCCACGATTCCCGTCACCTTCAATAAACTCCTGTAGGGGGGTGTTCACTGCTCGTACCCGTCCGGACTGATGTTGGTCTCGTAGTGCTAGCCTACCGAGATACCATGCCACAGTTTAACATGGATACCCCACTCAGCCTCATTAGGCTAACTCCGATCTATCCTCGTCTTATCAATGATATACAAAAAGCATAACAGAATGTGTGCAATGTAGTGCTGAAACAATATCAGGAAATAAAAGTTGTCTGAAATTATTAAATTCTGTGTTATTTCTGAAATCTGTAGAAAAAGTGAAAAATGGCCGCCATCTTGGAAAATGGCCGCCATTATCGTATTTAGCTGGGCATCTGAAATGTCCATCACATGAAATTATACAGTTGAGACATCAAGCTAACTGAAAATCATATTGGTAATTTGTCCCTCTGTTTGGTAGTCAAATTTTCTCTGGATCATGGACTACATCCCCTTAATGCCGACCGCAAGGCAGGATACCAAGTACCTTATTTTGACGGGCTGACGTTTTGGAGTTAAACCACAGGAGTGTGTGTGGGTATGATTTATAGGTGTGTGGGTGTTTATGGAGTGCTTATGGGAGCGCTGGTGGGGTAAGGTTGAATGTCGGCGCGGGTCTGTGTTGGGGGTGGAGGTGGGGGGTGGGGGGTATGTGGGTATGACGTGGGAAGATGCTGGGATGTCATGCGTGTCAGTTTGTAAAATGTAAATACTGTGTGTATGTATGCCAGTCTTCATACTGGAGATTTATTTACTATTTATTATGTATGTGCAAATCATGTCATATGCGTGTATGTATTCATCACTGCCTTCTCTCTCTCTCACTCTCGCTCTCTCTCTCACCCTCTCTCATTCGCTCTCTCACTCACTCTTTCTCTCTCACACTCTCTCTCGCTCTCTCACTCTCTAACTCACTCACTCTCTCTCACCCTCCCTCTCACTCACACTCATTCTCTCTCTCTCACTCACTCTATCTCTCTCACACTCTCTCTCGCTCTCTTACTCTCCCACTCGCTCTCTCACTCTCTAACTCACTCACTCTCTCTCACCCTCCCTCTCACTCACACTCATTCTCTCTCTCTCACTCACTCTATCTCTCTCACACTCTCTCTCGCTCTTACTCTCCCACTCGCTCTCTCACTCTCTAACTCACTCACTCTCTCTCACCCTCCCTCTCACTCACAC